GGATTTTCTCCCTCTCATGCCAGAAGAATGCAATTAGCCTTTAGGCGATTGTGCTCCAAGATGGGTTTTCCCCTCCAAGAATTTCCACCTTCCTTTCTGCCATTAGTTTCCCTGCAGTTAATCTAAGCCTTCATCTATCTCATCCAGAAAGCGCTCTGGTCATCAGCTTAATGGGGCAGGACGTTTTTCCTCCTGGGCAGCAGTTTTGTTTGGGTCAAAGGGGGAGAGAAAACACTTGCAATTCTTGCTATGCCTTTGCTCCTTTTGTTGAGGAAGGCTTTTTTAAAAAGAGAATGGAAGATCAATAACATAAGGGACAATTCTGAAATGTAGGAAGGGTATACAAACAGAACCGAGGGAATGACATGCAAAGGGCACAGATTAAAAGCAAAGCCCCTTTAAAAATGCTTGGGTATACAAAAAGATTTTCTCCTGGAGCCTAAATGACGGTGACATTGTTCCTAGGCAAGTCTTCCTGGAAAAAAAAAAAATCATTTTGTAATTGAGTGGAAGTGCTTAAAGAGCTTTGTCATTGTCCTTCACCTCCTCTTATTCTGATAAGAAAGGTACAGACAGAAGGAGTGTGTCAGACTAATAGACTAGGACTATAGCATGGAAAATTTCATAATATCGATCTTAAAATATTAACTTTTTTTAAAATAAAAATCAGAGATATCCACATGATACCATGACTTTTCACATACGATACCACATACAAGTCGTCCTCGACTTATGATCACAATTGAGCCCAACATTTCTGTGGCTAATAAAGGTAAAGGTTCCCCTTGCACCTAGGTGCTAGTCGTTCCTGACTCTAGGGGGCAGTGCTCATCTCCGTTTCAAAGCCAAAGAGCCAGCGCTGTCCGAAGAGGTTTCCGTAGTCATGTGGCCGGCATGACTAAACGCCAAAGGCGCACGGAATGCTGTTACTTTCCCACCAAAGATGGTCCCTATTTTTTTTACTTGTATTTTTTACATGCTTTCGAACTGCTAGGTTGGCAGAAGCTGGGACAAGTAACAGGAGCTCACTCCATTACGCGGCACTAAGGATTCGAACCGCTGAACTGCCGACCTTTCGATGGACAAGCTCAGCGTCTTTCTGTGGCTAATAGGGACAAGCTAAGTGAGCGTGGCCCCGTTTTGCAACCTTTCTTGCCACCGTGGTTAAGTGAATCACTGCAGTTGTTAACAGGGTTGTTAAGAGAATCCGGCTTCCCCATTGACTTTGCTTTATGTTCATTGGTCACATTTTTTTTTCAGTTCTGTTGTAACTTCGAATAGTCATTAAATGAACTGTTATAAATTGAGGACTAACTGCACATACATACATACATAAGCACATCCCAACACACTCTCATTCCAAAATAGGCCATTCAGTAATCCATCTTCTAAACTAAGCCTCTGCAGTTTGCAGTTGATCTTCGAAAGAAACGCTGCTCATTTTGATCAAAAGAGGTTGCTTATTTCATTATCGTCCCAAAGATGCTTTTTTTCAAAAGGCAACTGGACTTTCTGGTTTTTCTTTGAAGACGTTTTGCTTCTCATCCAAGAAGCTTCTTCAGCTCTGACTGGATGGTGGGGAATGGAAGGATTTATTGGAAGAATGGAGGAATCCTTCCATTCCCCACCATCCAGCCAGAACTGAAGAAGCTTCTTGGATGAGAAGCGAAACGTCCTCAAAGAAAAACCAGAAAGTCCAGTTGCCTCTTGAAAAAGCACCTGTGGCAGAACCATGACCTGGATGACTGAGAATTTCCATAGACACTTATTTCATTACAGTCACATTCTGTTTTCCCGCCATGTGAATTACTTTCCAGCTTTCATTTTATTCTCCTGAGATTCCTACAAGGAAAGTCAGGCTGAGAAATTGTGATCTATGTTAGGGGTCTCCAACCTTGGCAACTTTAAGACTTGTGGACTTCAACTCCCAGAATTCCTCAGCCAGCAAAAGCTGCCTAAGAAATTCTGGGAGTTGAAGTCCACAAGTCTTAAAGTTGCCAAGGTTGGAGACCCCTGATCTATATAACTGTGTGGACTTAAACTCAGGTCACTCTCCGATTCTATCCCAAAATTGTAACCGTAGTCGCCTTAATAAAAACCATGATGACATATCAGCATATCGTTGTATCGTTGTGCCTAAGTGAATTGTGTAATTTGTGTAATAATGTGTCTGAAATCACACTATATAATGGGTTCCACTACTAGCCACAATGACAAAAAGTAATGGGAATGTGACAGCATAAATATTATTTATTTACTTATTTATAAAATATATTGGCTACCCAGGGGTGGGCTTCAAAAATTTTAGGTAGGGGTTCTATGCCACTGGGTGGGCATGGCCATAGTGGGCATGGCCTAGTCAGCCTCCTGCACCATGGTGGGAGGTTTTCCTCGAGCCTCTGGGAGGGAGAAAATGGCCTCCCCAGGCTCCGGAGGCCCTCTAGAGGCCAGAAACAGGTCCGTTTCCGGCCTTCCCAAACTTCCAGTAGGCCCGTTTTTCACCCTCCCCAAGTCTCCGTGCGCGCCCTACACTTACCCGCATCCAAAACAGGCCACGTGTGGACTCCTGGGAGGGGCGGAGCAGGGTGGGTGGGGCCAGCCAGGAGTGGGATTTGGGGGTTCTCTGAACTGGACAGAATCTTAGCTAGAGGTTCTCCTGAACTCCTGCGAACCCCCAGCAGCCCGCCCCTGTGGCTACCCATCTTATCACAGAGTAATTCTGGGCAGTTTACAATCATACAAATATGTTCTTTCAGTGAGTATGAAAGTCATAGGCTTTGCATTATAATGCCATACTAGATAATGGGTAAAATATCACTTACCCCCTTCCCCCATGGACACTTTTTTTCAGATATCCTTGGTTATAATTATTATGCCGCCTTGGAAATGTGCACACACAATAAACTTAATTTGGTTAGTAACTTCAGATGAGCAGCTCGATCAATACAGGTAGTCCTGGACTTACAATGGTTCATTTATTGACCATTCAAAGTTATGACAGCACTGAAAAAAAGTGACTTATGACCATTTTTCACACTTATGACCATTGCAGCCTCCCCACGGTCACATCATCAGACGCTTGGCAACTGACTCATATTTATGACGGTTCCGGGATCCCCTTTTGCAACCTTCTGACAAGCAAAGCCAATGGAGAAGTCAGATTCACTTAGCAGTTGTGTTACTAACTTAATAACAGCAGCAACTCACTTAACAAGTGTGGCAAGAAAGGTCGTAAAATGGGACAAAAATTCAACTTAACAAACGTCTTGTTTAGCAACAGAAATTTTGTGGATCACTTTGGTCCTAAGTCGAGGACTATCTGTATTCACTTTGTTTTGTATGTTCTTCATGAGTTTAACGAATGCAGTATTTTCAGTTAATGTATGGTTTAATGAATTGGGCAAACTTAGAAAACGGGTTAATTCAATAATCAAGTTAAGGATATTGTGTGAACAATCTGTCAGAGATGAAGCATTCTGTCCTGCTGTTTTCAAGTACAGCTTTCTAGGGCCAAGGTAACAGGTAACAGTAACAAAGTTGGAAGGGACCTTGGAGGTCATCTAGTCCAACCCCCTGCTCCTGCAGGAGACCTATACTAGGGATTCTAACCGCTGAACTGCCGACTTTTCTGATCGACAAGCTCAATGTCTTAGCCAATCAATTTCCTCTAGATATCCTACACACAGGATCTAGGCTGGTTTTAAGAAAGATCTCTGGGGAAGAGAAAAAAAATATCTCAAAACATTATTAATGATGAGAAAAGCTCAAGGTTACTCTTATGGGGGTGGGGGAAGCTAGTTAGTCCTTCAGTCTGGCATTTTGGGGAAAAGAGATTCAGATCGTTCATTGAAACCCTGCCTTAATGAAATGAGTGCTAAAGTTTGGGCTTGTTCCATTTCTAAAATTTAGTATCTTAGTATCTTATTATTTATTCTTTATGGCTTTTGCGAATCTCTCTTTCCAGGTTGCACTCTTTGTAAGGGTCTAATACTAAGAAAGAAAGAAGCCAAACAGAACAATAAGAGCCTTGGTGGTGCAGCAGACTAAAATGCTGTTAAATAGCACCAGCTGCCTGCAATTACTGCAAGTTCAAATCTCACCAGGCTCAAGGTTGACTCAGCCTTCCATCCTTTCGAGGTAGGTAAAATGAGGACCCGGTTTGTGGGGGCAATAAGCTGACTTTGTATAAAAAAGAACACCGCTTGGGGGGACCAAAAGCCCTACTAAGCAGGTATATACAAAAGTATGAAGGCTATTGCTTAACGCATTGTAAGCCGCCCTGAGTCTCCGGAGAAGGGCGGCATATAAATCGAACCAATAAATAAATAAATAAATAAATAAACAACCATGTCCTGGGTTTAAATGTTACCATTATTTGGCTTTGCTCTTGTGGCTTGCAAACCATGATTTAGGGCTCCATATAATGTGCAAATTCAGCCAGTGTGAAGTAGAGCTGGGGGCTTCCGAGTTGGCTTGTGAATAATATTTAAGATGCCAGACACATTGCAAAACCTTGCTACTAGAAAAAGAGATAAAAAAGATGTTTTTTTTTTCTCTTCATCCAAATGCCAAAAACATAAAGGCTCGAAGACGTATCTTGTTTTCAGGCAAATGGAATTCCAAGCGGCCCCAAGATTTATACTTATTTATATTCTACCATTCCTAGCAGAAGCTGCCTATGCCTTTTGTTAAAAGAAGAAGAAGAAGAAGAGGAAGAAGAAGAAGAAGAAGAGGAAGATGCATTTGAATGTAGTTTTCCCCATAAATGCTAATAAGTTCCATGCTTATTAAATTCCTCTCCTTCCAGACAGAGTGCCGGGAGAGTTGATCTAAAACACAAGTTAATCAGACTTTACATAAGTAATGTTTTAACTATGGAATAGCTCCTTGTTTGCTTGGAAAGCCACAAACCTTCCCCCACCCACCCACCCCCGAGAGGAAATGTAGCAGAATGGTGGGAGGTCTGAGACTCATGACCTCATCTTTTCCGCCTGGCGCAGATTGGTCGGCTGGTATCTGGACTACAGTTTAAATTCAGAGGTCTGCAGAGGGGAAAACAGAAGAGGAGAGTGAGTGGAACTAGCTGAAGTGACTTCAGCATTGCTCTGAGCTTCACTGACCTAGCTGCAGATTGCTGCCTGAGGATCTAAGCATCACTCCAGGTACCAAATTGCCTTTCCTTTCTTACCTGTTACTTTCAAGCTGCGCTGCAATTTATTAAGGGGGGAAAAAAAGCACCCTGACAGTCTGCTGGAGACTTGTTTCCACTGAGAAGGGGAGCATTTTGCCTGAAATAGATTCGGTTCCAACAACAGTGCGGTTTGCGTAGCATCTGGGAGCAGATTTAAAGATACAGGGATGATGCGTGCTGCCAAATGGAAACTGCCTCTAAAAACAAACCAACAAACAAAAAAATACAAATGGCTCTTTCTTAAGAGTTAGAGGGGGGAGTCAAATTGCTGCATGTTTTTTTTTGGCTCAAAATGGCTTATGGTCTGCATTCTCTTTAGCACTATCTCTAGTGCTAAATTGCAGAGAGTGAGGGTGCGGATGGCTGGGTTATGACTAGGACAGATTGCATCATAGTTGGGATGTGTTGGCAAACGCTCATTCCCTTGGGTGTCTCACACTTCATCTACTTCGCAAGACTGTTGTAGAAGTAACTATAGGAAGGCATTGAAGTGAGTTGGAAGAGGAAGACAAGCCATAAATTGATCATGATTTGGGTCATTAGGATTATCAGCTGCTGTTTTTTTTTTTTATCAAGGGTCCTATTTTTTTTTTTTAAACAGTAGCATCTGGGCACAGAAATCTCCAGAAGCCGCATACTTTGCTTCCTGCTCTGCTGTTAAAGGCAAAAATAGCGGTCGTATTAAGATAATTTAGTAATCTGGGGAAATCATACAGAGTGGTCTGTGTTCAAGAATATTTCCTTATCTGAAATATCCTGATACCAGAGGACCAGTGGATCTGGATGTAAATTAAACCCTCCATCCAGCTCCGTCCAAGAAGGGTTCAATTTCTTGCTAGTCCCCATGTCTGATACAGCGCCTATTTATTTAGCCAAGTATTTCTGGCTAAAAGTGTTGCATTTAATCTCCATAAAAATCATTGGCTCTCCTCCGATGGGCCCTTTAGGCGTATTACTCAGATATAATTTGGTGCAGTGTTTTCACATTGATTTTTGCTTTTAGCACAAGTGCTCATTAACCTTGTAAGAAGAAGGGCAATGCATAAGGAAGGATGCCAGCTCCCCCATCAGCCTGGCTCCTGATACAGTCTTCCATCATGATTCATCAATTTCTCATATATCCCTTGAGTCCTGATTACACAGCTTTTTTCCAAAGTGTCACACATAACTGTGTAATCCTATCTGACTCTGAAATCTTTTCAAAATGCTTTAGAAGAAAGGACCCAATCAAATCGATGGTATTGCTGCTAAAGCATTACAATTATGCTTGAATTAAATTTCTATTCATATGCATATGGGAGGCAACCAAAGGCAGAAGAAATTCCGATTTGTTGCAACCTTCTTTTGCAGAATTTCCATTAAGTTTTGTAATATCTGCCTTTGAATTATTTCATAATATACTCTCACTTTTCCTCCATCTTCCCAAGAGACTGCATCCTGCTGCAGTAGCAACATCTAAAACTCCTGAATTACGATCAGCATTTAAATGAGTTTTGAATTGTTCTCTTTTTATGCACAGATAATTGTTGAACTGAATATTAGTTATTAGCAATAAGTAAGGAATTGCTACATTCCACATTAACAAATAAATACCCAAGCATCTTTAAAAATATTTAGTGGGTTTCCTACAATCTTAAAATATTATTAAAGGAAAAGATACTTCTTTTGCATGTACTGGATATGTCACAGAAAGTTTATGCTGGAAATAAGAAATTCTTTAGTCCTATGTGATTAGTCTGTTCATAAGCAGAGATGCGTTGACTCTCTGCTTATGAACATACTATTTAGCAATTCAATGAGAAGACTAACCAAGATTATCCTGTGTGGCCAAGATTTAATACTATGTTTAGAAATGGAGCCTTTTTTCTATATGTACTGTATTATTGTATTTATTGGTTTCTATTTTTTTTCTTTTTTCTTTTTTTTTTTTTTGTCTTCTAAAGCAATAACATTATCCAAAAAAACCTGGGTCATTGCATTGATGGAATGTTGTGGAAAAGCAATGCATGCATGTCCATCAAGCTAATCTGAATTCAAATATAAATATATACTTTGCCAGAATGTTTCAAACCATGGTTGGTTGAAACAGCTGCAGTGGCCTACTCTGCACACAATGTAATGGCATAATGAGTGAGTTCCCACTTCACGTTAAATGAAAAGCAAACACACCACCTTATGGCTTGGTGGGTTTTATAAATCAAGTCACAAAGTTTCCTATAATATGGGGGAATAAGGGGAGCCTTATTATTATACCTGAGTGGTGGTTCAGTGGCTAAGACGCTGAGCTTGTCGATCAAAAGGTCGGCAGTTCAGCGGTTCAAATCCCTAGTGCCACGTAACAGGGTGAGCTCCCGTTACTTGTCCCAGCTTCTGCCAACCTAGCAGTTCGAAAGCATGTTAAAAAAAAATGCAAGCATAAAAATAGGGACCACCTTTGGTGGGAAGGTAACAGCATTCCGTGCGCCTTTGGCATTGAGTCATGCCGGCCACATGGCCACGGAGACATCTTCGGACAGCGCTGGCTCTTTGGCTTTGAAACGGAGATGAGCACCACTCTCTAGAGTCAGGAATGGCTAGCACATATGTGCGAGGGGAACCTTTACCTTTACCTTTTACCTTTCTCAGTTTTCATCCTTTTAATTTCTGCTTCTTTAAATCTTAGCCAGGCTAGGTGTTCTGAAAGAGATGAAAGAGAGTGATAAATATAGAGAGAACTAGAAGGCAGTGATAGTCCACAACTTTTTAGATGTACTATTATTACTATTATTATTATTATTATTGGTTTAAGAAGGTACGATCTAGAAAAGCTTTATCAACATTGCAGTCTAGGCAGTTCATTGGCGGATATCTGATCAATCCATCATGAGACCTTCAGTCTGGAGTTACTGTTTACATATATTTAGACAGTTTGTGAAAAACAGGGCAAACAAATTGTTATTGTTCTTTTGGAACAGGAATCTTACCAAGCGTTTGCAAACTATTCCACAAGGATCCGTCATCATGAAAATCGCGGTGCTTATCTTGTGTCTTTTCACCGTTGCCTTTGCCTTACCGGTAAGTACGCTATGCATTTAACTAGTCAATCAAGACTTCCTTGGTGTAGCAGAAAGGAATCAATGCTGTCTATTTTTTTTTTTCTTCTTCTTAAAGATCAGCAAATCGAGACATCATGACGACTCTAGGAGCGCAGAAAGAAATCATGTAAGTGTGTATTGTACGTGTGCAGAGAATTGCTTTTGTTACGATCTTTATTGAACCTCGTTCAGTTCAAGTGGATCCAGATTGTCTATGTTTTTTATCTAAAACTTTAAAAATATGGGGGTTTTACTAAGGTACTAGTACTAGTACTTGTAAGGTACTAGAATTTAAATTCTAACAATAAAAAGCAGTCAAGAATTGGAGCATTCCAGGGGTGGACTGCTGGGGGTTCGCAGGGGTTCGGGAGAACCTCTAGCTAAGATTCTGTGCAGTTCGGAGAACCCCCAAATCCCACTCCTGGGTGGCCCGCCCCACCCCACCCTGCCCCTCCCAGGAGTCCCCATGCAGCCCATTTTGGATGCAGGTAAGTGCAGGGCACATGCGGAGGCTCAAGGAGGGTGAAAAATGGGCCTACCAGAAGTTCAGGAAGGCCCGTTTCCAGCCTCCAGAGGGCCTCCAGAGCCTGGGGAGGCTGTTTTCACCCTCTTGGAGGTTCGAGGAAAGCCTCTGGAGCCCAAGGAGGGCAAAAACGCTCCCCCACCGTGGTGCAGGAGGCCAACTAGGCCACGCCCACCATGGCCACACCTACCCAGCAACCAGGCAGAAAACCCTTTGCTAAAATTTTTGAAGCCCGCCCTTGGAGCATTCTTTTGCTTCAAATCTTAATATTTTATGGTCATATGGAATTTCCTTCTTCACATTTTCTACTTACTAGAATTAAGCTAAATTCGTATAGCTAGAGGGGGAAATACAGCATCCTCAATTATTTCCTGTTTACATCTGTATGTAAACACACACAGTCTTTTCAGACCTAATCTGCCAGGCATCAATTTCATTGAGTGAGACAATTGACAATACCTTTCCGGTTTTGTTTTTTTAAAGGTCCTACTGCTAAAAGGAATCTTAATCCTTTTAATAAATGCATTTATTTGGGCCATACGTCTCCCCAACTAAACAAAAAGCAAAAAACCTTCCTTTTTACAACCCTGTAATCCTCTCCCTGAACTTCATGGTTTCTATTTCTTAGTTACTACGGCTGTCCTTTTTGTATTTTTCAAAAAAATAATATTTTTTCTTTTAAAGCTATAACTTACACTACTACAATTCACCACAAAATAGTATGAAGATTCATTTCGCTTGCTAAACAGGCACTTTCTGCGTTGTTTTAGATACATTATCTAATTATTCTTAACACTGCTTTTACTTTTTTCACGAAAGTCGAATGAGAATGAAGTTAGATAGCATGGCAATTAGATCAGAGGTGGGTTTCAGCAGGTTCTGACCAGTTCTGGAGAATCGGTAGCGGAAATTTTGAGTAGTTTGGAGAACTGGTAGTAAAAATTCTGACTGGCCCCACCTCCATCTATTCTCTGCCTCTCAAGTCCCAGCTGATCGGGAGGAAATGGGGATTTTGCAGTAACCTTCCCCTGGATTGGGGAGGGAATGGAGATTTTACAGTATCCTTCCTCTGCCATGTCCACCAAGCCACACCCACCAAGACATGCCACACCCACCAAGCCACACCCACAGAACTGGTAGTAAAAAATTTTGAAACCCACCACTGAATTAGATCCTCCTAACTATTTCGTAAGGGGATGCGGTGGCTCAGTGGCTAAAATGCTGAGCTTGTTGATTGAAAGGTCGGCAGTTCAGCAGTTCAAATCCCTAGTGCCACGTAACGGGGTGAGCTCCTGTTACTTGTCCCAGCTTCTGTCAACCTAGCAGTTCGAAAGCAGGTAAAAAATGCAAGTAGAAAAATAGGGACCACCTTTGGTGGAAAGGTAACAGCGTTCCATACGCCTTTGGCGTTTAGTCATGCCGGCCACATGACCATAGAGATGTCTTCGGACAACGCTGGCTCTTCGGCTTTGAAACGAAGATGAGCAGTGCCCCCTAGAGTCGGGAATGACTAGCACATATGTGCGAGGGGGAACCTTTAATTTATCTTTAACTATTTCCTCTCTGTTGTAGGGATCCTTGTACCAAGCCCTAGGTCCTTGCCCTTTAGTGGTGCCCAAGCATTGAGATGTTGCATGTTAAATTCTAATGTTTTTGTATTGTTGTAGGACTCCAGAGAAAATGAAGCTTATGCACACCACCATCCCCACCACAATTCTCACAGCCATGAACACAGTCAAGAGCACGGAAACAGCCATGAACACAGTCAAGAGCACGGAAACAGCCATGAACACAGTCAAGAGCATGGAAACAGCCATGAACATAGTCAAGAGTCACCAGAACATACATCTTCTCAACTGGTATGCAACTCACCTTCTTTGATAAACTGTTAGGAGCTTTCCTCAATCTGGCAGCTTCTGGATGTGCCTATAAACCCAGATGGAATGGTTTGAGATGGTGCTATCTGGGGATTATGGTGTTGCAAATCCAATAACTAAGAGTGAGAAAAGGCCCTTCCCCCCACTCCCTGGAAAAGCAATATAGTAAAAAGAAATGTTGTAGTGGGAAGAGCAAGCGAAAATGGGACACAAATTAGCTGTCAGTTGGGCCTAGTTATGGTCAAACCAGGCCTGATGAGATTTAGTGCAAGATATTTTATCCGTTATTCTATTTAACTTGTTTCCCTGTCCATCATTCTCCATACCTCCCATCAGCCCTATTTCCATTCCATTCAATCATCATCTTTAACAACTCCATAATCCCTTGTGGGGTGGAGTCTGGGCAACTGAATGGAGCTAGCAGAGTGTTTAATGGCCGGATGTCCTTCCTGTCACCAATGCGGAATTTTGTTCAGCAGATATATTCTACTTGTGCCCAAAGAAAGAAATATCTGCCTCTATCTAGGATCAAACTCACAGCCTCCTGATTCTGAGGCGAGAGCTCCACCTCTAGGCCACTACACCACTCGTTTCCATTCCATTCAATCCAGGCCCTAAATCCTATTATTCCTTGAATAAAAAAGAATCCCAGGAAAGCTTCAACTGGATCCAAATGATTCAGCATCTCCACTAGTTATCAACCAACTGCTTCTGGGAAATCTATTAGTTGAGCTTTACCAGAATACCCTTCCTTCTCCGTTTCTCCACCCTACTGTGTTCAGAATTATATTGCTACTAAAGCTAATCATTAACCATGATTACTGGTTGTTAATATACCTACTGTTCATGAACTGATCTCTTCTCCAGCTACATACGCAGGTAGTCCTCAACTTACAACCACAACTGAGCGCAAATTTTATTTGTTACTAAGCAAGACAGTTTTTAAGTGAATTCTGCCCCATTTTATGACCTTTCTTGCCACAATTGTTAAGGGAATTAAGGGAATCATTGCAGTTGTTAAGTCAGTAGCATGGTTGTTAAGTGAATTTGGCTTCCCCATTGACTTTGCTTGCCAGAAGGTCGCAAAAGGGGATCACACGACACCACAGCCGTCATAAATATGAGTCCGTTGCTAAGCATCTGAATTTTTATCATGTGACCATGGAGATGCGGCAACAGTCATAAGTGTGAAAAATGGTCACAAGTCAGTTTTTGCAGTGCTATTGTAACTTCAAACAGTCACTAAATGAACTACCTATAGCAGTGATGGCTAACCTTTTTGCTATCGTGTGCCAGGAGGGGGGCAGGGGGGTTGCATGCGTGCATGCCCACGCCCATAATTTTATGCGAAAACAGGCCGTTTTCAGCCTCCGGAGGGCCTCCTGGGGGTTGGGGAAGGCCGTTTTTGCCTTCCCCAGACTCATAGAAAGGCTCTGGAGGCTGGGGACAGCAAAAAACAGGCCTTCCGGTCCCACCAGAAGTTGGTAAACAGGCCATTTTTGGCCTCTGGGGGGTGGGGAAGGTTGTTTTCGCCCTCCCCAGACTCCTAGAGAGGCTCTGGAAGCTGGGGACAGCAAAAAACGGGCCTTCCCCACCACCACCCAAAGCCCTCCGGAGGCAGGAAACAGCCTGTTTCCCTACTTTAGGTGGGCCCAGAGGCCCTGAAAATGAGCTTGCGTGCCCATTGATATGGCTACGTGTGCCACCTGTGGCACGCGTGCCATAGGTTCGCCATCACGGACCTATAGTAATGAATTCTATTGGCTTAATTGAGCTTAATCCACTGGTCGTTTTTATAGCACTTTTATTTCATTTTCAGAACTCTCAGTCTTTGGAGGATCGTGATGAGATCACTGAGCAACAGGTCAGTTTAACTCAACGTGCCTCTGCATATTTGAACCCACCCACAGAAGATCATGGGTGCAAGTTTATTTTTCATCAACCATTCTCCCCAGTAGCTGCAGGGTTTGATGAAAACATTCAAGATGGTAACCACAACTGGCATTTATATGCAAACAAATCAGGCCAAGCTTTGATCACCCTGTTGTGACAACCAACTTGACTGAATTCGTAGCCTCCTTTGGATCCGGTGAAAAAGGAGACAAAAGTAATCCACCTTTGATAGTTGTGCAGAAAAAAAGGAAGTTCCATAGGTTTCATTTGTAAAAAGTAACACCTGAGTGTATCACTGAGCAGCAATGTCTATAGATGAGTGTCATACACAGATTTTAATAACAGGCAAACAGATTCATAGTAAGTCAAATTTCTATATATTGTGCATTGCAGTGGTCGGTTTCACATATTCTTACCACCGGTTGGCCGCATGTGCGCATGCTCACTTTGCACACATGTGTGCCTTCCACACATGCACCTGGCCTTCCGCGCATGCGCCCGGCCTCAAAAACATGGCTAAATAGGATGGCATTATGTAGAGTCGCCGCTACCAATTCGCTCGAACCGGCTGAATACCACCTCTGGTGCATTAGTTTTGGTTTCAAAATTCAAACCTTTAATAGCTTTGGATATATATCCTAAACTAGGAAAGGTTTGGATTTTGAAAGCAAAACCAGTGCACAATCCCCCAAAAAAATAAAATAAAAATTGATAACTAAGGCATTTATTTCAATGCGGTGTCATAGGGTTTGTGTTAGGACTGTACAAAACTATTCTGAGGACTATTCCCTGTCCATCTTCTTGACGATTCAGTATGACTTCTTTAAGTGTTTGTGCATGAATTTGCATAATTAAAGGATTTGGTGATGTCTTAAAGAGCTATGAAGTACCCCTCCAAGCCAGAAGATCCAAATATCCCTTGAGATTATTTTGCTTACCAACTAGGAGCTTACATGTTGAATTTTGTACCAGTTGTAGCTTCTGGATAGTTTTAAGTAATCCAAATAGAGATCCTTTAGAAAGCCTGCAAATCGCATCACACTTGTGTCGGAAGCACCCAGGTGCTTCCAGGTTGAAAGGATTAGCCGATGACATCACCATTGCCCAGGGAACACCCATTTGGAAGCTCCTTTCATGTCCCAGCAGGAGCTGGAGCAAAGGATGAGAGCTCACCCTGTCCCATGGCAGTACTCGGGTCTCAAACATGGGCTTACTGCTTATCAGCCCAGTGTTTTAATCAAATGAGCCACCATGCGTCTTCAGATTATTTCATTTATCTAAAATTTAAGCCTGGTGAGTATAGCAATAACAATAGCGCTCAGAGGTATATACCGCTTCACAGTGCTTTAAGAGAGCCTTCGCAGCCCTCTCTAAGCGGTTTACAGAGTCAGCATATTGCCCCCAACAATCTGAGTCCTCATTTTACCAACCTCGGAAGGATAAAAGGCTGAGTCAAACTTGAGCCTGTTAAGATTCGAACTGCCAAAGTGCAGGCAGCTGGCAGTCAGCAGAAGTAGCCTGCAGTACTGCATTCTAACCACTGCGCCACCTCCGCTATAGTCATCAGATTCTTGTTGCTGCCAACTAGTGAACAAAAGACATTGTGCATTTGCTCTGGGATATTCCCCTCAAATTTCCAAGGTTCTCATCCTGATGTTTGGCACTGAAAACTAGCTAACACAAAGTATGTCCTTGTGCACGTGGTAAAACGAAGTTACATTGGTTTCCTTGCAGACCATTTTGGCCTCTTCCAGCAAAAGTCATGAAGATGATGATGATCATAGTGATGTTTCCAAAGACGATGATCATCCAGATTCAGATGAATCCGATGAGTCTCATGAAACCTTCACTGACTCTCCCACTGAGGCTCCCGTCACTGATTCCAGAGGAGATGTCCCATCTTATGAATTCAAGGCAAACGTTGACCAGATGAGTTTGGAGAGATCTGGAAAGGTAAATGCCAGCTGATGGCTTTCTTTTATTGCTGCACTCACATAAGGGGAGGGAGAACTTGGGATGGCCCAAAAGCAGGTCTATGAGAAGCACCTTTAGCTGCATCTGGATATCATCATCACTGCTTTAAATGAAGTGATTTAAATGTTTGATTTCAAGGAACAAGACAACTGTCCTATTTAGAACTACACCGTCCATCTATTATGTTGCCATTCACACACATGATATTTTTGCCTGGAGGATTTTGATCTGCAACTGACATTGTTTGGTAGCTCTGGGCAATCATGGGAAATAATGTCTGAAGTGGTTGTTTCACTTTCAAATGTCATGCCAACCTCCTCCTCCAATTCATCTTTCTTCACCAGTAGTGGGTTCTTCCCGGTTCGGCCCGGTTCAGCCGAGCCAGTAGCAGTGACGATATGACGTCACCGAACCGGTTCTCTTTGTTCTGGAGCTGGGCCCTCCCTTCCCCCCCCCCCCCGTTCTTCTTACCTTTTATTTGGCCCCGCCCCCAATCTATTCGCTGCCTCCCGAGTCCCAGCTGATGGCTAGAAGGAAAAAAACTGTTTAAACTCTTGCTGCGAGGCTTCAAAGGGCCGCCCTACAGCTGATCAGTGTTAAAAAGCACTACCTCACTGCCTTTTAATACTGATCAGCTGTAGGGCGGCTGACCAGTGCGCTCGAAAAACAAATGGGTAGACCGGTGCCTCCAAAAACAAATGGGTAGATTGGGACACTCGAAAAAGAAATGGGTAGACCGGGACACTCCAAAAACAAATAGGTAGACCGGTACAGCTCTGCAAGCAGTTAAAAGCCTGGTAGACCAGTACCTCTGCTAAATCCTAAATAATTGTCACATGACCATCAAGCCACGCCCATAAAATAAGCCACGCCCACAGAACCAGTAGTAAAAAATTTTAGAACCCAACCCTGTCCTTCACCACATCTAGTGGTGATTGACAAGGTCACCTTTAAACGCCACTCGTCACACCAGTTTTTGATAGCTGGATATTCAAATGTTACATACTTGGACAACACTGTGGTTGCTGTGAAGAAACCACCTGTAATAAATATTATATTGTATATGAGAACTAGGAGGAAGCATGTTTTGAAAGAATCCATTGGCTTAGAAAAACCTACTGCACTAATGCTATAAAAATCCTACGAAATAAATATTGCAAAGCCTGGGGCGGAAGAAACAAGAAACACAGCGTTTCCTTGCTTTAATAATTAGTTGACATAAACATGCTTTGCTTCCATTTTTTATCATCCACATTCCAGACACTTAGATATTTTTAATAACATTCGCAGTAAGTTTTCTGATTTTTTTTTTTTTTTTTTTTTGGTTGTGGACTAAATGTTGTGGCCATAAAATGGTATGTGGAAATGATTTTGCTACTTTATGTTTTACACCAATGTAATTCTTTTAGAGAAACATGGGAATTGACACTGGTGTAAAAGGACATGAATAACCAGTTTATTAATCACTTCCCCTATGAAGAAAATTTATCTTGAGCTCATGAAAAACACAAAAGATACAACAAAATAAAAAAAAATACAGGTTGTTGAAATTAATACTTCATATACCTGAGGCAGTATTTTATTTAAGTCTTCTTTATACTTTATCACCTATTTTGCACTTTATTTGTAACACACCATGGATATTCTTTGTAGCAAAGTGAGGTACCACAGCAAGTTTGGTCTAATAGTTAAGACACCAGACTAGAAAGCTGGAGACTGTGAGTTCTAATTCTGCCTTAGCTATGAAAGTCATTCTTTCTCAGCCCAACCATCTCACAGAGTTGTTGTTGTGGGAAAAATACAAGGTGGAAGATGTACTGGATATGTTTGCCATCTTGAGTTATTTTAAAAATACTAAATGCAGGATACAAATAATAACTCCTACTGAACTAATAATCCCATGCTAGCTCAGGAATTTTTATTTTTATTTTTAATTTGATTTATATGCCGCCCTTCTCCGGAGACTCAGGGCGGCTTACAATGCGCTAAGCAATAGCCTTCATCCTTTTGTATATTTATACAAAGTCAGCTTATTGCCCCCACAATCTGGGTCCTCAATTTACCTACCTTAGAAAGGATGGAAGGCTGAGTCAACCTTGAGCCTGGCGAGATTCGAACCTGCAGTAATTGCAGGCAGCTGGTCTTAATAACAGGGTGCTTTAGACCACTGTACTACCAAGGCTCTGGGAGTTGAAGTCCACAAGAATCATAAAAGGGCCAAAGTTCCCCACCCCTGTGTTAGAGCTTCTGAAAGTAGCACCCTCCAGCCTTGTGTAAGAAAGGAAAATCGTTGTGGATCTTATATGGTCGGTATTGTAGATATTCCTCACGAGAGCAGAGTGGCCTTTGATGGTTTCTCTTGTGAACTTTTTCAGTTCGATTCTCAAGATGTTTCCGATGAAGTGGACAGCACCCCAGATGATGAAAGCCATGAATATGCTAAGGCCCGTTCTCTGGAAAGCCACGAAAGTGACGACAAAAGTAACCTGAGGGACAGCAATGAAGTCCAGAGCGCGTCTCATGACACAAGTCTGGAGGACCACAGCCCAGAGAAACCTGAGAGTGTGGAAGACAGCAGCGACCACAGCAAAGCTGCCCTTTCCGTAGAAAGCACTGAAAGCGAAGAACAGAAAAAAGATCACAGTGAGGCACTCCAACAGTTAGACAGCAGTCCCGATGATGTCAGCAACCAAACTTTGGAAAGCGCCGAGAATCACCACAGCGCTGAAGACCAACACAGTGTTGAACACCACGATAGCGTTGAGGACAATGAGGTCATCCTCTAAAAGGGTAGAGTGAGATAGGCCGATACTTATCTGAGGGACCTCTCCAGACATTTTGCATGTAAGGGCCCAACTAAGATCAAAGCCCAACTCCTCCATCACCAGTGTTTTTGTTTTGCTGAGTTACAAAAAGAGAGAGAGAGAGAGAGAGAGAGAGAGAGAGAGAGAAAGGCAACACAACTTGAATGTTTGCTCCCAATTATATACACATAATTCGGATTTCAGGCCGTAGAAATTTGTAACTAGTAGCAAATGTAAACAATGCTGCCCAGGTCCTGTTCATGCTTATTTGGGAGTCGATCTGATAGATCTTCAGTAGAATTTGCTCCAGATAAACATGCTTAGGATATTAGTCTTTAAATGAACAATAAGAGTAGTCATGATGATTAGAGAATATCAATGCCCTTCTTGGTGCATAAGTCCTGCTCTGTCTCACAGTCGCTTGCTCTGAAGGAGAGAGAGAAAAAATGCTTGGGGAAAAAAAAATCTAGTTTTACATTCCCACTGATTTTTGTGTATCTTACAATGCTGTACTTCTGAAATGTTTAATATTGCAGTGTATATTTTGTTGACAGTTGTGAGTTAAATAAAGTGACAAAACTTTATACCTTGGTGTAGTGGCCTTGATGGGCTCTTGGGTTAGTCGTATGTGCAACCTCTAGTGGCTGAAGAAGGCGCTTTTAAAGTTATCAGGACAGTACAGGTAGTCCTGGACTTATAACAATTGGGACCAGAATTTCTGTTGCTAAGCAAAGTAGCTGTTAAATGAGTCACACCCGATTTTATGACTCTTTCTTATGATTAAACAAATCACTGTAGCTGTTAAATAAAGTGAATCGTGTGGCCAGCTGGTTGGAAAGGTGGCAAATGGGCAATCACGTAACCCCTGGACCAGGAGTGAAATCCAGCAGATTCTGACAGGTTCTGGAGACCCGGTAGCGGAAATTTTGAGTAGTTCAGAAAACCGGCAAATACCACCTCTGGCTGGCCCCAGAGTGGGGTGGGAATGGGGATTTTGCAGTATTCTTCCCCTGGAGTGGGGTGGGAATGGAGATTTTGCAGCATCCCTCCCACACATTGCCACGCTCACCAAGCCACGCCCACCAAGCCACACCACGCCCACCAAGCCATGCCCACAGAACCGGTAGTAAAAAAATTTGGATTTCACCACTGCCCTGGACACTGCAACTATTGTAGATACACACTGGTTGCCAGGTGGCCAAATTTTGATCATGTGGGGATCTTGCAATGATCATAGATGTAAGGACCAATCAGAAATCTCTTTATTCAGTGCCATTGCAACATCTAACAGTCGCTAAATGAATGACTGTAACCTGGAGTCTGGCTGTAAAGCAGAGGTCCCCAACCCCAGTCTGTGGACTGACTCTGGTCCACGGCATGCCAAAAACTAGGCTGTGCAAACGAGTGAAGCCCCATTCATGGGATGCAGGCAGCACACGAAACCACGGTCCCTCCAGTCCATGGAAAAACCTTTACCCACGGAACTGGTCCCTGGTGCCCAAAAGATTAGCGGCCGCTGCTGTAAAGGAAGCACAGTAATTTTTATTTATTTATTTTTTAATTTGATTTATATGCCGCCCTTCTCCGGAGACTCAGGGCGGCTTACAATGCGTTAAGCAATAGCCTTCATACTTTTGTGTATTTATACAAAGTCAGCTTATTGCCCCCACAAACTGAGTCCTCAATTAATCTACCTTAGAAAGGATGGAAGGCTGAGTCAACCTTGAGCCTGGTGAGATTCAAACTTACAGTAATTGCAGACAGCTGGTGTTAATCACAATGCTATTAGTCTGCTGAGCCACCAGGCCCCTGGAGTGGGGTGGGAACGGAGATTTTGCAGCATCCTTCCACACATTGCCACGCTCACCAATTAATACCAGTTTGTTCCGTAGCCTCTCTGATCAGATATAACTTCTCAAAACCTGGGATTTGTTCTATTGTTCTGCATAACTGATATAAGATCTGGTAAGTCTTAAGGAATCTTTGTCCTGGTTATTACAACAAACGGAGCCATTTGTTGTAAACCCAACTAGTTATGTATTCAACAATTTTTTTGCCAATTCAGCCGTGGCTGTCTGCAAAATATAGGTCAATTTTGTTGGTAGACCTATCTTCATCTTTCTTCAACCTGGGATTTTCACACATGTGGGAGTGCAAGTCCCATTAACAAGCATTCGAGATTAAGATTAAGGCACTGTAATTTAACACCAGCTGTCTGCAATTAAAGTAAGATCGAATCTCGCCAGGCTCAAGGTTGACTCAGCCTTCCATCCTTTCTAAGGTAGGTAAATTGAGGACCCAGTTTGTGGGGGCAATAAGCTGACTTTGTATAAAATATACAAAAGTATGAAGGCTATTGCTTAACGCACTGTAAGCCGCCCTGAGTCTCCGGAGAAGGGCGGCATATAAATCAAATTATATATAAAAAAAAAAAATTAAAAAAAGATATCTGAATGTGCTGTTATGGAAGGTTCAGTGTAAAATGAATTACACCTATGGGCAGAAAGCAGAATAATCACATTCCATGAATCAAGGGTCTCATTTCCCCCATCTTTTATTCATACGCTCCTGATTTACACATCTGCTGTTTCATTCTGGACAGCACATCTGTGATATAAAGATGGCTAGAATAAATTTAAAAATAGCAATTGAGTAATGTTTTCATAGAAAAGTCTTTTAAAGTGCTTGAGCCAGAGGATAGGTTTGACAACACAGAAACTATTAACACCAAAACGCTAAGAGGAATTGGAAACAAATGCCTGCCCTGATTGTCACAACAACTGTGTGGCTCAGGCAAAAATGGAGCATAGCTGGCTGAGGAATTCTGGGATTTGAAGTCCACAAGTCTTAAAAATTACCAAGTTTGAAGACTTCTGCTCTAAATGAAAATCCTCATCATTCTCATCCAGTGGTGGGTTTCAGATTTTTTTACTACCAGTTCTGTGGGCGTGGCTTGGTGGGCGTGGTGTGGCTTGGTGGGCATGGCTTGGTGGGCATGGCAGGGGAAGGATACTGTAAAAACTCCATTCCCTCCCCACTCCAGAGGAAAGATACTGTAAAATCTCCATTCCCTCCCCACTCCAGGGGAAGGATACTGTAAAATCTCCATTCCCTCTCCACTCCAGGGGAAGGTTACTGCAAAATCCCCATTTCCTCCCAATCAACTGGGACTTGGGAGGCAGATATAGATGGGGGCGGGGCCAGACAGAATTTTTACTACCGATTCTCCGAACTACTCAAAATTTCTGCTACTGGTTCTCTAGAACTGGTCAGAACCTGCTGAAACCCACCTCTGTTCTCATCACCTCTTTCACCCCATTTTCAGTCACCGGTTCCAACAGCATACCCCAATCTGGCATGCTCCAAATGTGAATTCTGAGAAATTCAGCCCTGACCCAACATATTTTGGAAAAAGAAGAGTAAGCTGTGAAAGACTGTAACACACACTGGGCAAACAACCTCAACCATATTATTGTCACTATGTGCCTGATCCATTAGGGTGGGACCTTCCTTGGTTTCTTTCTCTGACGGGTAAACAACTTCGGGCTCCTACCACTTCTTTCTAATTGTTTCCTTGGCAGTATCTCTTCTCTCCTTTCTTCAAGGTCACTGAGTTGGGATCATTGGCTAAAGGAGAGAGGGAGTAAGGAAGCATTCCAGCATGGAGAAGTTCCATGAGATGGAGCACTAGTGAAGCTTTTATCTATCAATTCCCAATGGAATATAGTCAATCTGATGAGATTCTTGTAACACAGATGATCAACAATAAAGGAACTGCTTTGGCCTATTCACAGAATTGTTCTGGTTCCTTGCACTTGACACTTCGGTCTCCTATGCATTCCATTACAGGGGCCTTTTCACCTTATTGCTTTCTTCAAAATCTTTGTTTCAATCTATATACCACTGAAAACAGATGCAATTCTTTTTCCTTTACTTATTTGATCAACCTATCACTATCCAGATTGGAGGAGCTGCCACCAAAAAGAGGGGGTCAACTCAGGGGTGAAATCCAGCAGGTTCTGACAGGTTCTGGAGAACCGGTAGCAGAAATTTTGAGTTGTTCGGAGAACCAGCAAATACCACTCTGGCTGGCCCCAGAGTGGGGTGGGAATGGAGATTTTGCTGTATCCTTCCCCTGCCACACCCACCAAGCCATACCGCGCCCACCAAGCCATGGCCACAGAACCGGTAGTAAAAAAAAATTGGAGTTCACCACTGGGTCAACTTATCTTCCAAAGCACCTGAAGGCAAGACATGAAGCAATGGGTGGAAACTAAGTCAGGTAAGAGACAACCTAGAACTAAGGAGAAATTTCCTGATGGTAAGAACAATTAACGAGTGGAACGGCTTGCCTTCAGAAGCTGTAGATGCTCCATCATTGGAGACTTCTAAGAAGAGACTAGACAGTCATTTGTCTAACATGATATAGGGTCCCCTGCTTTAGCAACGGGTTAGACTAGAAGACCTCTAAGGTCCCTTCCAACTCTAAATTGACTGCCCAGATTTGTATCTGACATGCCAACTGCCTATGCCTAGAAGACACAGCCTCAAACATCTGAACGGAGCAGCTTCAGATTGGGGGAGTTATCTTAGATGCAGGCAGAAAACTACTGTTAAAAGGTAAAAACATTCTTGACGTTCCTGTTAGACAGATCATACATCAATTCCAGCTATCCCTGACCCTCAATAAACCCTAGACAGAAATACAAAAGCACAGCTTAAACCTTTTCCTCTTACTGACACTTGGGCTAAAATTGATTAACCATGTCTTACCTTAGGAAATAAACCAATACCAGCAACACAAATCACAGTCTAAAAAAGTTCTTCAAAACATTAAAATCCTTTATACACACATTAGAGACTCTCCAGATCTGAACCCATCACCCATGGCTGACACCAAATTTTGTATATATTTATACAAAATATATAAAGCTTGTCTCACCCTGCAGAGTGAGAAGATGGCATTGCCTCCTAGACTCAGGGCAAATCCTCAAGGCAAACCATGTCCGTTGCACTAACAAAACCTTAGATCACTGCATAAATATTTCCAAAACTGTTTAAACATCGGCACCTTTGAGAACAAAACTCTTTGATTGTCTTACTGTCAAATATATTCTACTTCCACTTTAAGCAGGCATCCTTTGCTCATTTACCCGGCATCAGAATGGACCAGAAGTTCTATACAATAGAACATCTGGATTTATATTTTGATACATCACTGATTGGAAAGAAGAGGGAAATAGGCATGTGGGCTTTTTGTTTTCAGTATCTAAATATAGCATTTTAAAAATATCTATCTGCTGTGCATCCTTTGAATTCAATGCCAGGGCACTAATCAGTACAGATCGTAATTATGAAAAATGCCAAGTAGCATTCTGTGACAGCATCAGAGAATAGATATAATACTTCCTCCGATTTGTCCACGTTTTTCTTTAAAAATTAATTCACGTGGGTGTAGGGCTTTACAGATCACATGTTTCACTACTTTTCCATTTATACTATATACTCAGTATAATTCCTGAGTCCATCTGAACTTTCCCCCATGGAACCTAGACAATGGCATCATGCCAAGAGTGAGTCTATAAAATTATTGCCATAAAGTAGATTGAAATCTGCAGTCCATTGGTGGCGAATGTACCAGAGGTGGGTTTCAGCAGGTTCTGACCAGTTCTGAAGAACCGGTAGCGGAAATTTTGAGTAGTTCAGAGAACCGGTAGTAAAAATTCTGACTGGCCCCGCCCCCATCTATTCTCTGCCTCCCAAGTCCCAGCTGATTGGGAGGAAATGGTGTTCTTTTTAATGCAATTTATATGCCGCCCTATCTCCAAGGACTCAGGGCGGCTCACAATGGTAAAAATGCACAGTTCCTCATTAAAAGACAATATAAAATTAAAATTCCAATTTAAAACAATTTAAAATTCATTAAGAAACCCCCCATCACTCCAGGCTGTGGAACAACCAGGTCTTCAAATCGCGGCGGAACGAGCAAAGGTCAGGGGGCATCCGGAGCTCCAAAGGAAGTTGGTTCCAGAGGGTGGGTGCGCCCACAGAGAAAGCTCTCCCCCTGGGGGTCGCCAGCCAACACTGTCTGGCTGACGGCACCCTGAGGAGGCCCTTTCTGTGGGAACGCACCGGGTGATTGGGAATTATCGCTGGCTGCAGGGGGTCCGACAAATATCCCGGGCCTAGGCCATGAAGGGCTTTGTAGGTAATAACCAGCACCTTGAACCGCACCCGAAGGGCAACCAGTAACCAATGCAAGTCGCGCAGGAGGGGTGTAACATGGGAGTATTGGGACGCTCCCATCACAACCCGCGCGGCCGCATTCTGCACCAGCTGAAGCCTTCGAGTGGTTTTCAAGGGCAGCTCTAGGTAGAGAGCATTGCAGTAGTCAAGACGGGAGGTGACCAGCGCATGAGTAACGGTGCGTAGGGCATCTTGGTCCAAGTAAGGGCGCAACTGGCGCACAAGGCGGACCTGGGCAAATGCCCCCCTGGTCACAGTTATTACATGATCTTCCAGAGACAACCGTGAATAAAGGAGGACACCCAAGTTGCGAGCCCTATCCACAGGGGGTAACACCTCACCCCCAATGGTCAACGATGGACTATCTTGATCGGACCAAGATGCCGGTACCCACAGCCACTCGGTCTTGGCGGGGCTGAGTCGGAGCCTGTTCCTCCCCATCCAGGTCCATACCGCTTCCAGGCAGCGGGACATCACGTCAAGGGCATCACTGGGCTGGTTTGGGGTGGATATAAAAAGCGTACTGATGATACCGCACCGCAAAACCATGGATGATCTTTCCAAGCGGCTTCATATAGATGTTGAACAGGAAAGGCGAGAGGACCGACCCCTGGGGCACCCCACAAGTGAGGGGCCTCATAGCCGACCTCTGCCCCCCTGCCAACACCGCTTGTGTACGGCCCAAGAGATAGGAGGAGAACCATCATAGAACAGTGCCTCCCACTCCAAACCCCTCGAGCCGTCACAGCAAGATACCATGGTCGATGGTATCAAAAGCCGCCGAAAGATCCAAGAGGACCAGAGCAGAGGAGTATCCCCTGTCCCGAGCCCTCCAAAGATCATCCACCAGCGCGACCAATGCCGTCTCCGTGCTGTATCCCGGCCTGAAACCCGATTGGTATGGATCCAGGTAGTCTGTATCCTCCAGGACCAATGGGAGCTGCCGTGCCACCACACTCTCAACAATCTTCGCGACAAAGTGAAGGTTGGAGACTGGACGAAAGTTATCCAGTATGGTTGGATCCAAGGCAGGTTTCTTGAGGAGGGGTTTCACCACTGCCTCCTTCAAGGCAGCAGGGAAGATCCCCTCATCCAAGGATGCCATTATTACTGCCTGGATCCAATCCCATGTCACCTCTCAGGCTGCATAAGCAAGCCAGGAGGGACACGGATCCAGTACACACGTGGTGGCACTCAGCCTTCCCATAATCCTGTCCACTTCCTCAGGGGTGACAGGATCGAACTCCTCCCAAATCTCAAGACCGGCTGCCTCACCGTCAGACCCTGCCCAGTCAGAGTCCAGACCGTCCCGAATCTGAGTGATCTTATCCAGCAGATGCTGACTAAACTCCTTGGCACATCTCCGCAAAGGATCCTCCCCCGCCCTCCGATTCAGGAGGGAGCGGGACACCCTGAACAGGGCGGCCGGGCGATTATCTGCGGACATGATGAGATTTTACAGTATCCTTTCCCCAGAGTGAGGTGGGAATGGAGATTTTACAGTATCCTTTCCCTGAACGCCCACCAAGCCATGCTACGCTCACCAAGCCACGCCCACAGAACTGGTAGTAAAAAAATTTGAAACCCGCCACTGGAATGTACATAGTGGTGATACTTACAAAATTCTACAAAGGTAGCCTATTTCAATAAAATATAGTTCCAGTTTTTCTGTGAAGTCAGTTTTCTGGTCTACTTCGCTGACACTGCTTTCAGAATTCTGAGCTTTGAAGCTATAGGCACATCACAACATTCAAAGACCTTTTCCAAAGCTTTTATTATTAATCTATCAAGTATTGGTCTGCAACATATCTCTTGATTGCTTTTTTTTAATTTACTATTGATATTCAAACTTCAAAGGCAAAAACTATCCACTTTTCGGTGAATTATTACTGTATAATTTTATTTAACCAGTACGGCACACCTCCATTAAAATACTTCTATCCATGGAAAATCTAAGGAATGGTCAGTTAATGACTGAAGAAAATCAATTGCCAGCATCATAAAAAGGCCATGATATGTTCCTCAGAACTCCTACACTGAATTGAAGGAAATACTATGTACCTCGTTTTAGTTCTCCCACTGAGTCTTTGATGCAAATGTTAGATCATGATCAGGAATATCTTAACAGCACAATCTTAACTATGTCTTTGTTTCTGAGGCCACCAAAAGAAGAGAAAGTGGGTAAGCAAAAGGAAGTACCGTAATAAGGAAATTAAAGTAAGTCTGACCTCATGAAACTGTGGGTTGATCCTTGGGCAGGATTAAAATTCCTGGGGGTCGTAGGCAACGCAGCAGCAGAGATAAAAGCCTCTTCTGAGTCAGAAATCCAAGACAAGTTGAAGTCCATTCTAAGTGGTTGGCTGCCTTTGGAGAATTTACTCTTCAGATCCAGGTAATAAGATGATCGCAAAGTATTTTAGAATATCTAGGGCAATTATAGACAAGAACCTTGTAAGCAAAACAAGTGTTGCTATCCTTAAATTACTGAAGTTATAAGATGATAGCTTCCCTAAAATAACCAGAATTGCTGCTAAAGTCTAGGTACTGTATGGATCAATAATATTTACTGTGCCACACTACGCTGTTTACTAATGTATGCAAATAGGTCAATTTAAAGCTGTTGCTCCCATTTGTAGATTCTCTTGCCTGCTCTTAGTTATAACTTTTATTTCACATCTCCTTTTTAATTTAGTTCTGTCTCTAAACAGACAAGTGAAAGATTCAAGAAAAGGGAGCAAACAACACACAGCACATCCTCCCTAGGACCCAACCTTTCCAGCACCCAACATCCACATAAGCAAGGAAGAAACAGGATAGTCAGGGGAGAAACAATAGTCTAGTCAAGAAACCATCATGGACACCATACTGCAACCAAGATTGGCAGGGCCAGCTGCTATATGTAAACAATCAGTAAACTCTACTCTACGAATGTCTCCAAGAAGACATCCAAGCTCGCTTCCACTTTGTGAGAGTGCTGTAGGCACATCTCTCGCTTCTCTCCTGTATTATCGGACTCTCTGGATAAAGATTTAGCTCATTTTTATGAGGTTTTGGCATAGCAACTAGCCCCAAGCAATCAACAGCTAACTTGTTTATTTATTAAATAAACTGATGGTGCGAAAAGTATCATCCAAAGATGTAATGATAGTTCCAGGCAAAGCTGCCTTTTGCAATTGACTCGGGGTGATTTTGTCAATGCCGATGGTGTTCAATAGTGCTCCAGATGTTTCGGAATGGTACCCAAGGAGACTATCACTATTGGTGCTCTCTTTGGTTTGTCACAGGTCTTATCAGTATTGTGGATTGCACAATCAGCCAAATGTTTAGAGTGGATTTGGCATATTAATCTACCTATCAAGTCCTTCCCAAGGACCTAGGATTGATACAGGCCACTGCCTTTAAATTAGCTTGTGGTACTTCTTGTTCAGTGTGTTATGCAAACCCAGAAAAAGTCATATTACATAACCAAGTGCCTTATGCAAACACAACCACTGTGAACAAAAGGTGGATGGTTTTCACGGCACTTTTTGGTGATTTCTTTGTATAGTGAGAAGACTCATCTTCCTGTGGCTATTCGATCACACAACCACAACGAAGAATATAGTGGCTAAATTTCAAAATATTGTGGCTAAATGTCAAAATTGTTAAGAGCAAGCATACCTCAGGTATTCTGGTTATGCTTTACTGTACATTTTGGCACCTTTACTCTTTGGTGGGTATATAGGAATGAATATTTATCCCCCTCTTATCTCTGATCATTTAGAATTTTCAGGGATTGTGAAAAGCTACCGGGACTGCTCCCTGCTCTAAAATGTATTTACTGGCTGTAACAATAATACCATGTATCCCCAAAAATAAGACCCTGTCTTATATTTTTTTATATATTTATATATAATTATAAAAATATTTATATATATATTTTTGAACCCTGAAATAAGTGCTTGGCCTTATTGCCATGCACTCAAAAGCCCAATTGGGCTTATTATCAGGGGATGCCTTATTTTGGGGGGAAAAGGGTACGCTGAGGGTAATGCAACCATTCCTATACAGCAATGGTGGGTTTCATTTTTTTTTACTACCGGTTCTGCGGGCGTGGCTTGGTGCGTGTGGCATGGCTTAGTGGGTATGGCTTGATGGGTGTGGCAGGGGAAGGATACTGTAAAATCTCCATTCCCTCCCCATTCCAGGGGAAGGATACTGTAAAATCTCCATTCCCTCCCCAATCCAGGGGAGCAAATGGGGCAAAATCCCCATTTCCTCCCGATCAGCTGGGACTTGGGAGGCAGAGAATAGATGGGGGCGGGGCCAGTCAGAATTTTTACTACCGGTTCTCCAAACTACTCAAAATTTCTGCTACCGGTTCTCCAGAACTGGTCAGAACCTGCTGAAACCCATCTCTGCTCTACAGCATAGACAGCTGTGGAATTCTGGAATTCTGGGAGTTGAAGTCCACCCATCTTCAAGCTACGGAGGTTGAGAAACACTGCCATATAATATTATATAATATTATACATAGAAAAAGCAAGGGTTAAAATCTTTGTTACCTTCTGGCTTCATTTTTGAACATTTATCCTCTCATAAAATACTCTACAGGGGACCAGCCACAATGAAAAGCCTTGAGATAATCTGTTGCCTTTTCATCGTCATCTTTGCTTTAGCAGTAAGTACATTGCCAATTTAAAAAACAAAAAAACAAAAAGCCAAGGACAATATATTTGCATTGGCAGCAGGAAATGCAATTCTTTTTCACCATCCCTCTTCTGCTTTGTCTTTTTCCAAGGTCGCTCATCCACTGCCAGACAATGTTTTGGAACAGGTAGAAGCAAAAGAGGTAGGGCAAACATTATTTCCATAGATCTCTTGGAAGAAATAATAAAGGTTGCAAAATATTGCATGGGGAAAAGTCTGTCCATTCCTCCTCCTCCTCCTCCTCCTCCTCCTCCTCCCCTATCAGGTTCTTATTTTTGCAAATAAATCTAGCCCAGGTCAAGAAACCCTCAGTTATTCAATCAAGGGGATCTGGAATGAAACAAGAGTAGTTAGGATGAATAACAGAATATCAAAAGCCTGTGCAAGGTTTATTTTTGTCCCACATTATACTGAAGAAAAACAATTAGTCTTATCTATGCAGTATATATATAAATACATATAGAGAGAGCCTTGATGACGCAGTGGTTAGAGTGCAGTACTGCAGGCTGCCTGCTGGCTGCCTGCAATTTGGCAATTCAAATCCCACCAGGCTCAGGGTTGACTCAGCCTTCATCCTTCCGAGGTTGGAAAAATGAGGACCCAGATTGATGACTCTGTAAACTGCTTAGAGAGGGCTGTGAAGCACCGTAAAGTGTTATATAAGTTGAAGTGCTATTGCTATATATAAAACGGAATATTGGTTCTTTTCTCCTGTTTTAAGACTGGTGGCGGCATTCTTGCTCCAGAACCCTTACAAACTCAAGTATTACCATCATTGAAATTGGTACATTAAATTTCCTCTTCTGAACTAATATGATTGGTATTATATTTTATCATTTTGAATGCTAATGTTTCTCATGTAGCCAGTTAAATAAGTTAACAAAACCTGAGCGATGTTGAAGTACACCAAAGAATACTAATAACAATCATTCCAACATTTATCATTTGTATTTTATTGTGTTTAGGATTCCTCTTCCTCTTCCTCCTCCTCCTCCTTCCTTCCTTCTTCTTCTTCTTCTTCCTTCTCCTTCTTCTCTAAGTATAACTTTTTATTAAAGATTTTTTAAAGGAGGATAAAAACTAATACAAGCTAATACAGGTGGTCCTTGACTTATAACAGTTCTTTTAGTGACTGTTCGAAATTACAACTGCACTGAAAAAAGTGACTTATGACCGTTTGTCATAATTATGACCATTGCAGCATCCCCATGATCATGTGATCAAAATTCAGATGCTTGGCAACTGGTTCAAGGGGGTCATGGGATCCCTTTTTGCAAACTTCTGACAATCAAAGTCAAAGGGGAAGCCAGATTCACTTAACAACCGGGTTACTAACTTATCAACTGCAGTGATTCACTTAACAACAGAGGTAAGAAAGGTAGTAAAATGGGGCAAAACTCACTGAACAAATGTCTACTTAACAACAGAAATTTTGAGCTCAGTTGTAGTCATAAGCTGAGGACTACCTGTATAAGGTGAGGAAAAAAACGCACAAAGAAATCAAAGTGAAGACTAAAAAATGCAATAAAGGAAAACAAATTTTTAAAAAGGATAAAAGAAAAGCTTCCATTCTTTACAGCAGTTATAAATGTAACTATAAATGTACTGTTTGTTCAATGCTTACATAACTTTGTTCTTTCTATAATCTAACCTTTCTAATCATCAAAACCATAAATCATAAATTCTTTTTTTTCTGTTTCACATAAAAAGTCTATAAAGGCTATCCTCTCAACAATAAAATCCACATTAACCTTGATTTTCTGGTACCACAGATCTCCATGCCATTCAAATCTCAGGTTGTGTTCTTCTAACTTCAAAAACACCTTTTACTTCTTTCATCCAAACTAAACGGCAAGCATCTTATATTTAATTTGTGGTTAGTTCCCTACTACACAAATTTAGATAAATCCTTTTGCCACTGTTTAAATGGTGCAACAGTTATCAAAACAAGTCTGGAACAAAAGCATCATTCTACGCAAGGCATTCATTTTTATTTAGAGATACTCTCCTCAGCAATGAGAGTTGTAATTTCTCCCCTAATGTATCTTTTTAAATTTCATTCTATGTCTTAACATAGTTACTTTGAAATAATGTACAATTCATGTTTGTCATAGCAATACCCGGATATTTTATCTTCTACTCAATCTTAAAACTCATTTTATTCATCGGTTCTGTTTAATCTTCTGTTTTCATGATTTTGGTTAACATCGTTGTCTTCGGTCTATTAATCTTGAAACCTGTTAGTGCACAAAATTATTTTAATTTGTTCCTTAATATTTCAACTCCTTTTAAAGGATCCCACAGCGCCAGCACTCCTTTTTGAAGATCCCACAGCGTCAGCACTCGTACTAAAGGATCCTTCAAAGCCATCACCTCTTTTAAAGGATCCTTCAAGGCCATCACTTCTTTTAAAGGATCCCACAGCTCCAGCACTTTTTGAAGATCCCACAGCGTCAGCACTCGTACTAAAGGATCCTTCAAAGCCATCACCTCTTTTAAAGGATCCCACAGCGCCAGCACTTTTTGAAGATCCCACAGCGTCAGCGCTCATACTAAAGGATCCTTCAAAGCCATCAGCCCTTTTAAAGGATCCCACAGCACCAGCACTCCTTTTGGAAGATCCCACAGCGCCAGCACCAGCACTTGTACTAAAGGATCTTTCAAAGCCAACACCCCTTTTAAAGGATCCCACAGCACCAGCTGATCTGCAGAAGCTCCCCGCTGGTGGCAATGCTCCTTCTTCAGATATGAGCCAGGATGATCTCCAGGAACAGCAGGTAGAAGCAATACTTTTCAATGCATTAAGCACTAAAGCAGAGGTGGGAAACGATGGCCCCTATATAACTTGTGGACTTCAACTCCCAGAATGCCTGAGCCAGCCATGCAGGTTCAAGCATTCTGGGAGTTGAAGTCCACATATGCTGGCTCAGGAATTCTGGGAGGTGAAGTCCACCAGTCATAAAAGGGCCATCACCCTTGCACTACAGAGTGTTTATTTGTTTGTTTTGATTCGATGTGATTTGTACATAAACCGTGATCAGCAAAAAGGAAATTAAAAAAACCTTTTTATTGTTAAACACTCAACAAAAATTCAGGAGCTTATCAAGCCTGGGGCAGAACAGCCAGCAGAGACAACCCACCTCACAATTCCACACAAGGGTTCATTTAATTTTCTCTCCTAAGGCCGGAGGAGGGAAGAGGGACCCAAGATTTTAATGCCTTCAGAAAGTGACAGCTCAGAGTCATCCAGATCTAAAAGGGCCTGGTCTTCCACAGGGCAGATTGAGGCATACTTTCTGTGTCCCATCAGATGCCATTGTTTAATCCAGGGGTCAGCAACCTGTGGCTCTGGAGCCGCATGTGGCTCTTTCACCCCTCTGCTGTGGCTCCCTGTCACTCAAAATGTCGTCATAACTGCCAATGTGTAACACCCGTCGGCATGCGATTTATTGAGCTTTTCAACCCCTGGTAGGCCAACCATGAATAAATCCAAGAAAATAAAAGTTTCAGAAGAAAACAGGACGTTTAATTCAATTACATATGTTAGTTTTGTGGCCACTCAAGAAATGTCAGGCACAGGAAGGGTTTTGTGGCTCCCGGTGTTTTCTTTCCTGTGGGAAACAGGTCCAAATGGCTCTTTGAGTGTTTAAGGTTGCAGACCCCTGGTTTAATCAAAGGTATCTTAGTAGATTATACCACTAAGAACAACAATAATAATAATTAGAACAGTGTAAGACACCAGACTAGGAATCAGAAGACAGTGAGTTCTAGTTCAGTCTTAGCCAGCTGGGTGACTTTGGGCCAGTCACTCTCTCTCAGTCCCGGGAAGGAGGCAATGGCAAACTACTTCTGAAAAAAAAAACTTGTCATGGTCACAACATGAACTTGTCCAGGCAGTTTCCAGTAGTTAATAATGACTCAAATACCCGCACCCTCAAAAGAAAACCTACAGCAGAAATCAAGTTATTGTGAACTTACTTTGCTTTAGCGCTATATAAAAAACAAACCTTTTAGGTTTTGAATTTCACTGAACGATTAAATTATTCAATAACAAAATGGATACTTTCCCTCAAAGTTCCACTTCTGTCATGATGCATTTCTATTAAGTGGCAGCATTTCATGATGGAGCGAGGGATAAACGTGGAAATGTTCAAGCAGAGACGTAATACCTATTTCAATTCAAATACTCTTTAATGAGATTCACCAGTGGGACAAATACAGGTGATCTTCAATTTACGACCAGAATTGAGCCCACAATTTCTGTTGCTAAGTGAGACATTTGTTAAGTGAATTTTGCTCCATTCTGCGGCCTCTCTTGCCACAGTTAAGTGAATCATTGCAGATGTTAAGTTAGTCACACGGTTGTTAAGCGAATCAGGCTTCCCCCTTGACTTTGCTTGTCAGAAGGTTGCAAAAGGGGATCTCCTGACTGCAATCGTCATAAATATGAGTCATTTGCCAAGCATATGAATTTTGATCCTGTGACCATGGCGATGCTACAAAGGTTGTGAAGTCTGAATAACGTTGATAAGCCAGATTTTTCAGTGCCATTGTAACTTTCAACCGTCACTAAATGAACTATTGTAAGTCAAGGACTACCTGTAATCTTGAATAAGCAAAGAGTTCACCCTTTCTTATTAACTGCCCCAAATTCTTGTACTCCTGTGCATTGAAAACATCAACAGCCAGTACAATGTTCACTATTCCTCTGGACTGGAGAAATAATGCTAGGCAGAGTTTATTTATTTTTATTTATTTATTAAATTTCTAAAAACTTTATTTTTTTTTTACTACATTTTTATTCAGCTAGAATAAAAGGCATCTTAATATATAATGTATCTGACAGATTTTTGTTCTGTCAAAATGTCATGCTTCATTTATTAGACTTTTATCTTGCCTTTATTACTTTCAAGTAATTCAAGTCAGCAAACATATATGATACTCCTCCCTCCTTCTATTTCCCCCTCCTGTGAGGTGGGTTGAGTTAATTAGTCAGTTACCCAGCCAGCAATCATGATTAAGGCAGAACTAGAATTCAGTCTCCTGATTGCTATGTCAACACCTTCACCATTAAACCAAACGATCATACCTTAGAAAAAGAAAGTACAGAACTGTTTTTGAATATCTCAAAAGGATAAAAGAGAACAAATGTCCACTCCACCCCCTTCCTATTCATTCTGCTTTAATTATCTATCATCAAGTCACTCATACATATTTTTATGAATAGGGCAAGTAAAAGTAGAGTAAGCAATCTTGGAACACCCTTAAATCATAATGATTCCTACATCTAAAATCATTTAACATTGAACAGATGTTAAACATTAAAATAGTTCTTCTTCATAGCAACCACAAGGATCATCATTAAAACTAAATTAAATTCCTCATCCTCAAAAATAATTTCACTGCAGAAATGAACTGATTGCCACTTCTCTCTACACAGCAACATCCCTGCTTACATTTGAAAAAGTAAAAATTCTACTAGCTAGCTCCTTTTAAAAAAAATAACTAAAAATAAGAAGATGTAAAACAGCAAATTGGAAGCATCGCATATACTTTCCCCATTAAACCTAAAGTGAGAAAATGTCATATAATTCATTGTACTTTGGCAGAAGCTAAATGGATGGAGGTAAAACTTCCTTCCAAAAGTTACATGTCTAGTGGAAAACATATGATGGCCACCAGATGGTCACTGGCTTAATGAGACTTCTAGAGAAACAGACAACTTAATGGAAAATGTTGCACAGTTTTCTAAGTGTCGGCAGAGCCAATGGAATTTTATCTTGCTGTTGTTGCAAAAAATCAGGAATCTATCTGGAAAACATTATATTACATCTGAAAGTATTAGGTTAAGTTAGGTTAGGTTAGGTTAGGTTAGGTTAGGTTAGGTTAGGTTAGGTCAGGTCAGATCAGATCAGATCAGATCAGATCAGATTCTACTCTGACCTTGTTAATAGTTTTCAATTCCCATTTATCCCTATTAAAAATAGTTCCTTCCATTCAGTTCTTGATATCCAGGATTTAACTGAAGTTTTCTGCAAACTATGATTCTAATGGGAACTAGTTTACACTGACTAACTATGTACAAGGAATCCTAAAACCTTCATAATGCAGATAAAAAAGGGAGGGCAGATTTGTTCCTAAAATAACCCAGATCCAAAGGTGGGTAGGGAAATATTAAAAAAAAAAAAAGTCCAAATGACAGCTGCTATGATGTCATGAAAGCTTCACCCCCATTACTCAGAGCAGGGCTTTAGTTGTGTGGCATCATTATGACTTTTTTGACCTCCTTGCAGATGTTTCTGGAAGAGAAGAGATGAAACAAAAATTTCAGAAGCTTAACTTCATTTTGAATTCTGTCTTGTATCGTTTTTGGAACTAGTTCCAAGAATTTTCATGGCCAAAATAGCTATCATTTCATTTTTTACATGATACAAATGGGAAATAGAATTTAACAACAAATTATTATTAAAACAAATACTCAATTTCTTTTATCTAAGGATTAATCTATAACACGGGTATCAAATTGGTCGCCCGGGGGCAGGATGAGTCCTGTGAAGGCCATGCCCACCCCAGCTCCACAAATGGGAAAAAGTCGTGAAACATCATGTGACAGCAACATGACACAGCGAGTTTGACACCCATGATCTATAGTGGGTCTATAAAGTCTATTGACAATGCCTTTTTCTTTTTTTCGCAGGACTCTGAGGCAATTATGCTCTCTGAGGAAGCTTTAGAGGCTATCTTACATGATGAAGCTCAAGAAAGTGAACTTCAGAAAGAAGAATAGGGAACCTGTATTACTGCGTTCCCTCAATGGTTGTCAGAATGACTCCAAACTTCGTAATAAAATTTAAATTGGAGCATAAATCCATGGTGTCATTGTTCTGAATTACATCAATATTTATTTTCAACAGATTGGAGCAATGACTCTGATTTCAGATCGTAAAGTCAGACTTAGCAGGTTTCTTAATACACAAACTCTATCATTAGCAATCTCGTTTCGTATTGAAATGCCTCTCTCTCTCTTGCCTCTCTTTTAACAACTCCTGTAGTGATTGACTTTATTTTATTGAGGGAGAAGGAAAAAAGAAAGATTAATTCATGGAGCACTAATATTTTACAATAACATAGTTCAATGATAGATAGATAGATATTGAGACAGATATATATGATTGGATGGATGGATGGATGGATGGACAGACAGACGGATGGACAGATGGATGGACAGATGGATGGACAGACACCGTAGATAGATAGATAGATAGATAGATAGATAGATAGATAGATAGATAGATAGATGATATAGATAGATATTAGACAGATACTGTAGATAGATGATAGATAGATAGATAGATAATGAGCCAGAGATATATGATTAGATAGATAGATAGATAGATAGATAGATAGATAGACGGGCAGACAGACGATGGATGAATGGATGGATGGATGGAAGATTGATGGTAGATAGCTATAGCTATAGCTATATAGACATAAAATCTTTCCTCCCAAGTTCTAATCAGGGCGACCTTGCTTAGCATTTGGAGCACAGCCAAGATCAGGTAAATGCTTTGTTACACAAAAGAATACAGGTAGTCCTCAATTTACAATCTTTTGTTTAAGGACTGTTAAAAAGGCACTGGAAAAAGTGACCGTTTTTCACACTTACGACCCTTGCAGCATCCCCACAGTCACATGATCGAAATTCATACGCTTGGCAACTCACTCATATTTATGACAGTTGCAATTGTGACTTTTGTGACCTTCTTGACAAGCAAAATCAGCAGGGAAGCCCAGATTCACCCACCCACCATGTTGTTACCAACTTGACACATGCAATGATTCCCTTAACAACTGTGGCAAGAAAGATCGTAAAACGAGGCAAAACTCACTTAACCAAAACGTTTCACTTAGCAACATCAATGTTGGACTCAATTGTGGTCATAACACTGAGGACTATTTTGTACTGTGTCCAGATCATCAGCTTCTCCCTGATAATCCATTGGCCCTTCTAATCTTTCCATATTCACACCCCACCCCCACGGAGGGCTTTAGAGCCGCAGTGGCGCAGTGGTTAAAGTGCAGTACTGCAGGCTACTTCTGCGGATCACCTGCTGCCAGGAGTTTGGCAGTTCGAATCTCACCAGGCTCAAGGTTAACTCATCCTTTAATCCTTCCGAGGTCGGTAAAATGAGGACCCAGATTGTTGAGGGCAAGAGGCTGACTCTGTAAACTGCTTAGAGAGGGCGATAAAGCCCTGTGAAGCGGTATTTAAGTCTAAGTGCTATTGCTATATACACCAAGACAAATTCTTTGTGTGTCCAATCACACTTGGCCAATAAAAAAAAATATATCCTATCCTATCCTATCCTATCCTATCCTATTCATCTCTACTCTATTCTATCCTATCCTTTCCCTTTCCTTTTCTTTTCTTCTTTTTTCTTCTCTTGTTTTCTCTTCTCTATTCTATCCCTATCCCTATCCCTATCTCTTTTCTTTTTTCTTTTCTTTTCTTCTTTTTCTTCTTTTCTTTTCTTTTCTTTTTTCTTTTCTTTTCTCTTTTCTTTTCTTCTTTTTTCTTTTCCTCCTTTCCTTTCCTTTCCTTTCCTTTCCTTTCCTTTCCTTTCCTTTCCTTTCCTTTCCTTCTATTCTATTCTATTCTATTCTATTCTATTCTATTCTATTCTATTCTATTCTATTCAGCCCTCTCAGATCCAGCCTCCGGCCGCCTTTAGGGACTGAATCCTTCCACCAGCAATCCGTGCGCCCGGCTCTCTCTCTCTCTCCCTCTCTCCCTTTCCCTTTCCCTCCATCCATCCTTGGAAATCACTCCAAGGAAACTCGGGGAGGATTTTCCTCCCTGGGAAAATGGACTCAGAGAACCCACTTCCATCGCAAAGGAAGCCCGCTGAGCTCGGGAGCTTCTTTCCCCCTTCGGCCCGTCCGAGGAGGCCGTTGGCTCCGCCAACCTGGCTGCCGAGGCTCTGTGGGCGGGGATGGAGAGGAAAAGGGGGCGACGGCGCTGACTTCCCGCCCCGTTTCCTCGGCGGGGCTGCGGGGAAAGTTCCTTGAGGCGGCGGGGCTTGCAAAGGGGACAATGGCGGGCGCGGGGGGCGGCGGCGGCGGTGGCCGCGCTGGACTTTGTCCCCCGGGCGGCCTTGAGCAGCTGGAACTGGGGCAGCTCGGACAGCCTCCTGGCTCGCCTTCGCCGCCGCTTTCCTCTTGCTCGAGGCAGGCCTGGAGCCGGGACAACCCGGTTTTTGAACCCGAGGAGGAAGACCCGGCCAGGGTGGCGACGGCTATAGCCGGGCCGGTGTTGAGGATGGACGTGGAGTGGGGCCGGGGCGAAGCGGCCTCGCCGACGCCCGGCGCTCGAAGCGGAGACGCCGCGCAAGGGAGGCAGCGGCGGCGCAGGCGGAGGGGCGATGAGGAAGAGGAGGAGGAGGAAGAAGACGGAGGGGAACGGGGCCGTCCCTTCCCCGCGGGCGCAGGAGCGGGAGACGCCCTGCCCGCGCGCTTCGCTCCCGAAGAGGGCAACGGCGAGGCCGCGGAGCCCCCGCCGCACCGGATCGCTTGGGCCAAAGGGTTGGCGAGCCGACTGCGAGGTGAGTGAGCGGCCGCCTGGCTCAGCCTCGCTTCCCCGCCTTCCGCCGGCTTGCTTTTGTCCCCTCCTGGGAGGAAGGGCAGCCCCTTGGAGATGCATCTACCTGTCTTGCCACATCCAATTCGCCACGGGACAATTCGCTATGGACAATTCGGGACAATAGTTACTTAATATCGAAGAAATGGTAGAATAGAATAGAATAGAATAGAATAGAATGGAATAGAATAGAATAGAATAATGATAATGAATAGAATATGTGGAATAGAATAGAATAGATAGCATAGAATAGAATAGAATAGAATAGATAGATAGCATAGAATAGAATAGAATAGAATAGAATAGAATAGAATAGAATAGAATGTGGAATAGAATAGAATAGAATAGAATAGAATAGAATAGAATATGTGGAATGGAATAGGAATAGAATAGAATAGAATAGAATATGATAGTAGAATAGAATAGAATAGGAATAGAATAGAATAGAATGAATAGAATAGAATAGAATAGAATAGAATAGAATAGAATAGAATAGACTATGTGGAATGGAATAGGAATAGGAATAGCATAGCATAGCATAGAATAGAATTTTTTATTGGCCAAGTGTGATTGGACACACAAGGAATTTGCCTTGGTGCATACGCTCTCAGTGTACATAAAGGAAAAGATACCTTCATCAAGAATCATAAAATAGACTCGTTATAAGAAAGGGTTGCAAAAGGAAGGGACAACACGAAGTGGGGATGACAAAAAAAATGAAAACATTTCTTTTGAATTATTTTAAAGAATCAATTAAAATTGTTGAATTGGCCTGCGGCAGGTTTTCCCACAGCGAATTGGCCCTGGCAAATTGGCCCTGGCAGAGCAAAGCTTAAAAATGTAGAGCGGGATGGGGGACCACCAGGAAAGCCCGGGGTTGTAGATTAGTTAAACTGAGAACTACCATGTTTCCCCGAAAATAAGACCCTGTCTTATATTTTTTTGAACCCCGAAGTAAGTGCCTGGCCTTATTTTCGGGGAGGTCTTATTATTTTGGGGCGCGTGGAGGAAACCAGAGGAAATGGTGGGGACTGGCTGTGCATGCGTTTAAATATTTTCAGGGAAGGCTTATTTTCAGGGGGAGGGGCTTATTTTAGCACACGCGCTCAAAAGCCCAATTGAGCTTATTATCAGGGGATGTCTTATTTTCGGGGAAACGGGGCAAAAAAAAAAGAAAAGATTCCAGAAGGCAATAGCCAACAACTTCCATAATGTTTAACGAACAACTGCACTGGCTCAAAAAGCATTGAATTGTAGTTATAAAGAGGGAGGGTTACGGTGTATTTTCTGCACTACTGTTAATTTCAAGGGTTTTTTTTTTTTCATGTATTAACTTGCAGTTTAATAATTGTTATCTGAATTTTATTCCTTTGGTGGGTGGCTCAACTTTTTCCAAATTAATATCCTTCAATATGGGTTTGATGTTGACTTTAAATTGCAGTCTCTCTGTGTTAATAGGGACGTGGTGGCTTAGTGGCTAAGATGCTGAGCTTGTCGATCGAAAGGTCGGCAGTTCAGCAGTTCAAATCCCTAATGCCACATAATGGGGTGAGCTCCCATTACTTGTCCCAGCTTCTGCCAACCTAGAAGTTCGAAAGCACGTAAAAAATGCAAGTAGAAAAATAGGGACCACCTTGGTGGGAAGGTAACAGCGTTCATTGCGCCTTTGGCATTTAGTCATGCCGGTCACATGACCACGGAGACGTCTTTGGACAGCGCTGGGTCCATTTGGCTTTGAAATGGAGATGAGCACCACCCCCTAGAGTCGGGAACAACCAGCACATATGTGCAAGGGGAACCTTTACCTTTACTGTGTGCGTTTTAATTGGAGAAAGAATAGTTGTGAATAAAAAGTTTGGGGCTTTCTTTATAGCCCCAAATATAATGTACCTAGATGTTCTCATTTTGGATTTAAGAATATCCGGATGGTCTCATGACAAAAAATACAGTGTCTATATAGCCTTTGACTGGGTGAAATGGTGTATCATAAAACAAAACTTTTTCAACCCAAATACCATTAATGGGCTACTGGACAGAACACATCCAAAATCTGGAACCCATGACTCCTGTGGAATTGCGATTTGGCAAATTTTATAAAGCACTGTATGACATAAACATTATTACAAACTTTTATGATATAATACAAAATGTTATAAAACATTTCCTGTGGTCAACTGCTGATCTTTAACAGTAACACATTTACAGAGGAACGTGGGCTACTTTCAAGGCAGATTCACCTCTGAATATCTATTTAAATTTTTAAGAACTTTTCAAGTACAGTTAGTCCTTGACTTACAGCAGTTCGTTTAGAGACGGTTCGAAGTTACCACAGCACTGAAAAAAGTGGCTCGTGGGCATTTTTCACACTTACGACAGCTGCAACATCCTGGTGGTCACATGATCAGAATTCAGATGCTTGGTAAGTGATTCATATTTGCAGTATCCCGGGATCATGTGATCACTTTTTTGTGACCTGACAAGCAAAGTCGATGAGGAAACCAAATTCATTTAACAACCATGTTACTAACTTAACATCTGCAGTGATTCAGTTAACAACTGAAGAAGGCAAGAAAGGTTGCAAAATGGGGCAAAACTCACTTAATAAATGTCTCACGTAGCAAGAGAAATTTTGCATTCAATTGTGGTCATAGGTTGAGGACCACTTGTACCAGGAGTGAAATCCAGCAGGTTCTGACAGGTTCTGGGGAACCGGTAGCGGAAATTTTGAGCAGTTCAGAAAACCAGCAAATACCACCTCTGGCTAGCCCCAGAGTAGGGTGGGAATGGAGATTTTTCAGTATCCTTCCCCTGGAGTGGGGAGGGAATGGGGATTTTGCAGTATCCTTTCCCTGGAGTGGGATGGGAATGGAGATTTTGCAATATCTTTCCCCTGCCACGCCCACCAAGCCACACCCACAGAACCGGTAGTAAAAAAATCTGGATTTCACCACTGTCCTGTACCTGCCATTATTGAAAGCATTGAGAAGTCTGGTAAGGACATATCTCTGAAACAATGACCCAAGAAGTCACTGATTGTCTAGTTTTACTATTACAGTTAAAATATTCCTGAATACTAACCCTGACTATCTATCTAAATTTAAAAGACATCGATGGAACCTAGCAGTTTTTATAAAAATAAAGTAGGTTATGCAAGTTTATTCAGTTATAATGTGGAACTAGACATAGAAGAGCAATCACTGTCACTATTTTAAACTCTGTGTGTGTGTGCGCTTGAAAACCTGATTTTTTTTTCTGAAATCACATGATTTTTCTTCTGAATTCAGACTTGTTACTGTGCTGCAGATGTGGGCATTCAGACAATATTACATAATTTGCCAAATTCACTGCAATTTATTTGCATGCTTTGAGGCCTATCCCCATCTGCTCCCAAGCAAAGTACAAACCTTGAAAACATCTTTCTGCTTATCTCTTTGACATTCTTTCACCCTGACTCTAGGCCAAGGGTGTCAAACTCGCCATGTGACATTGTCGTCACGTGATGTTTCGCGATGTTTTCCCATTCACGGAGCTGGGGTAGGTGTGGCCTGCACGTAACGCATCCAGCCCGTGTACCGCCAGTTTGACATCCTTGCTGTAGGCCCTGAGAAGGGCAAGCTGAGGTGGTCTCCAACTGTAGGAGCGAAAATGTTTACAAAATTAAAGGTCGTAAGGAAAAGCTTTGGCCCTTCAGTAAAATTAGTCTTTGTAACTGTCCTAGAAAATATGAAGCTTTTATTTTGCGCACCACACAAAATTCATAGGCTGCCTATTTTTTAAGCCTGTCTAAGAGCTGTGCTTATTTTTTCCAGAAATAAAATACTTTTTTTGCCAAGCGTTGCAAACTCCAATCCACTCAGAGTGTATTTCAAACTTTCTGTTGCTCGGCCAACCAGCCTTTGCTCATTTGTTCCAGTTCAGGATAACCATCTAACTAGCTGCAAATTCCAGAAGAGTAGCCAGATTAATCCGTAGAAGTAAAAAATACAAACGTAATTGCAGCTACTTTCAGATTGTACTATAAGCAGGGGTTTTTTTGTATCCCATTTCTTTTCACATAATATTATTTGTTTGTAACTTACTTATATACAGGATGGTTCATAGAACAGAAGACAGAAAGTCCTGCTACAAGTAGCATATATTTTAAAAGTTAATTTAAAAAAAACACAAGTGATAATTATTTGAGACAGATTTTAACAGCTAAAAAGAGCTAAACTATAGTTGCAAGCTTACTTATTGGGCATAATATATCTTAAGTTATACCCTTTTTCTTGCATTGCAATTCCTTCTGTGGATAGCTCATGCTGTTATTTTTAGTAACATGCCTTTGGTATGATGAAATGAGCACATTTTGTACAACTACTGTTTTGATCTACAAAACTGATTTGATGCATTGTTTTTGGCAACATCTATCATTCAGTTCTTATGTGGGAAGCCAGCCCCGCTCCTAGAAGAATGAAATATTTTGAGGAATATTAAAAAAGGCAGGATATTATATTTCTCTAAATGAGAAATGGAGAAACATGTTTTTTTAGAGGCAGGAAGCAGTCTCAGTCTTTCTAAATAGCCCCCAGCAGATATTTTGTGCCCATTAAGAAAGATTGAGCCAGCCTATTCAAAAACCAGCCCCAGTCTCCCTGCCCCCAAGCAAAAACTGAGGAGGCAGCTTTTAGAAGTGCAGATTTGGTAATCCATTCAAGACAGGTTATTTTGAAACAAAGGCAAAATGGTAGGATTAGAAGCAACCCCCCACCCAATAGCCAACACAGGATGAAAGTCTTTAGACACAATAAGAATTGCCTAACTCCCTTTCAGAACACAAGCCCCTTCATTGCATAACCCCCAGAGCAGTCCAAACTTCAACCGAATTAGCTCAGACAAACACCCAGGATTTGCATTTCCTTTTTGCCTATAGAGCCAGCTATAACCCCTATATAACTCCTACATGACCCCCATAGGAATCTGATAACAGCCAATAGAATATTAAAGGACATGTTCTTGCACAGGAACAGGAAGCTCAAATACAAAGCCCAAAGAAGTTATTTTTTTAAAAAAAACCCTCAACTCCATTTTGTCAGCTGCCCAGAATCACACATGATTGGTGGTTCTGTTTCATCAATAAACCATCTTTCCAACCAGCCTCCATGTTGTTTCCAGCTTCTTTCTCCCAACCTGGAACTGAACCAAATGGATATTTCTTCAAAAACACTTATTTTATGGTCCACTGTTACAGGGAAAGGATTGATCTTCATTGTCGGTCTAATTCAAAAGTGATACGATTTAACATAGTTTGCTTTTTAAAAAGTGGGAAATATGTAGAGTACTTTCATTTCAGAGATGGGTTTCAGCAGTTCTGACCAGTTCTGGAGAACTGGTAGCGGAAATTTTGAGTAGTTCGGAGAACCGGTAGTAAAAATTCTGACTGGCCCCACCCCCATCTATTTTCTGCCTCCTAAGACCCAGCTGATCGGGAAGAAATGGAGATTTTGCAGTATCCTTCCCCTGGAATGGGATGGGAATGGAGATTTTACAGTATCCTTTTCCTACCACGCCCACCAAGCCACGCCACGCCCACCAAGTCACACCCACAGAACCGGTAGTAAAAAAATTTGAAACCCACCACTGTTTCATTTGCACTATAACTTGACACATCTGTTCAGATATTAAAAGAAATCCCTAAATTTTAAGAGTAGAGGTTGGCAATCTATCATCTCTAGAAATTTTCGATTGCAATCCTTCACCATTAGCCAGAACTGGTAGCAGTTGAGAGCAAAACCTGTTCTAATTTTTTTTCCTATTGTTCAAGTGGGCAGTAGTTGCTACTATGCAAACTTCTACAAAACCTTGTCAATTTAGCTTTTGCAAGGGTCCCTATTTCTCTGGCAAGTGGAATACACAACAGCATGCAAATACATTTTACAATTTCTAATATGTAATTATGTACATATAAGTGTATGTGTAAGAGATTACAATTTCTTGCCTTCTTCATCCTGATATCAGTTGAAAGAGGACTGCCATTTTAATCAGCTTTGTAAAAAATTTAATGAATTTTATAGTTTATAATCAACTTTATAGTTCTTTTTGTTACTTTGCTGCTGTTTTGAGCCTTCTGGTCTGGCTGGCTTCCAAAAGAGGCTGAGTAACTCTTTTGGCCTATTTGGGATGTTTAAAATCTTTAAATCCTTTTGGATGATTTCTTATAGAGCATGTTGTAGAAGAATCTTTGCAATAAACTGCATTTGTGGAGTAATGCTTTTTAAAACATCAATTTAGCAATGTTTGTAAATAGTGCACCAGCATTGCAATGTATTTATATGCTGTTGCCATTGGTATCATTGTTATTGTACTGGTCCTGAGAGAAAAGTTGTTAACTACTACTAAGACAGAGATAAACTTACTTCCTTACCTAGAATCATGTGTTGTTCCACTAAATTTGTATATGTGTTTCTCAGATTATTATTATTATTATTTTTTGCCTACAGAAGCTATTTTCATATCTTCTAGTAAAAATTGCACAAGGTGCATTTTGCTGGCCAAGGTTTGCCATTCTAACTTGGTTAGTCTTATCGGCGGTTACTGTTCTTCTGCTTGAACGATCTTGGCAGTACTCAGAACTGCAGTGATGTAATATTGATGCAAATGATATACAGCCTTATAACCACATTTGAGTCCAAAAGTGCCATTGCTAAACAAGACAGTTGTTAAGTGAATTTTGCCCCATTTTACAACCTTCTTGCCACAGTTGTTAAGTGAATCTTGTGGTTGGTAAGTGAATTTTGCCCCATTTTATGACCTTTCTTGCCACAGTTGTTAAGTGAATCCTGTAGTTGTTAAGTTAATAACATGGTTGTTAAATGAATCTGGCTTCCCCATTGACTTTGCTTGTCAGAAGGTTGCAAAAAGGGATCCCGTGAACCTGGGATACTTCAACCATCATAAATATGAACCAGTTGCCAAGTGTCTGAATTTTGATCATCTGGCCAAATGGATCCTGCAATGGTTGTAAATGTGAAAAGTCGTCATAAGTCAATTTTTTTGTGCCGTTGTATCTTTAAACATTCCCTAAACAAATGGTTGTAAGTTGAGGACTACTTGTAATCAGTTATCGCATGTTAGGTGGCAATCTTTCATCCCTGTCTAGTTCTTTTCCTTGTTGTTCTGGTTAGTAGGTATAACTTATTGAACTAATATAAAGTAGTGATGGCAAACCTTTTTGGCACCGAGTGTCCAAACTGGAACGTGTGTGCACACTGGAGCCCCGGAAACTCAAAAACCGCCTGGTCTTCCGGTTTCCAGCGTGCACTGGCCAGCTGGTCTTCACACATGCCGAAGCATCAGGGTTGGATTCTACTTAACCTTTACTACTGGTTCACAGCAGGGCCGCGCGCACATGCTCGCTTCACTCGCATGCATGCGCACTCTTCTGCACATGCGCAGAAGCGTTTTGATGATGTCAGTGGGCGGAGCCTCCCGCCGGTTTTATTACTGGTTCTATAGAACCGATGCAAACCGGGAGCAACCCACCACTGGCGCACATGCATGCCAGCCAGCTGATCTTTGCACAGCCGGAGCCCCGGAAACCCGAAGACCAGGTGGCCAGCGCCACATGCACACCAGCCAGCTCGTCTTCAGGTTTCCGGGGCTCCGGCATGCGCAAAGACAAGTTGGCTGATGCGCATGCCAGAAACCAGAAGAGCAGCTGGCAATGATGCGCATGCCCACAGAGAGGGCTCTGCGTGCCACCTCTGGCACGCGTGCCATAGGTTCACCATCAGGGATATAAAGTCAGTCTTGTACTAATCTTGTAAGGTGGAAGTAAATGTCCAAGCTTATACATCAGACTAAACAACAGCAAACCATGACTAGTTTCTACAGATGCCTTTAATATATCAGTACATTATATTTATTATGGATTCCTGGTTATTCTTTTTAAGGTCTGTGGGGTACTCGGCTCATGGAAGAAACTACAACTCGAGAGAAATACTTGAAAAGTGTTTTGCGTGAGCTAATAACATATTTGATTTTTCTTGTGGTCCTATCAGTCTGTAAGTAGTCTTTGCTGATATTTTAATGTGATGGTAAATTGATATTTCATATATAATGGAATAGAGTTACGAAATATTTCTTCATTCAAGGCCAGGATTATTGCTAATCCAGTCAAATTTGATGTTCTGAAAACTGCTAATTCATATATGCTATAATAACATCCAAAACCTGTTCGTATTGCTGTAGATTGATTCAAGATCTAGAGAAAATAGTCTTAAGAAATCATTTTGGTAAATCTAAAAGTATGTTACAATTTCAGTCTATAATTTAAAAATAAGAAGAGAAAATGTATACTCCGAGATTTTACAAAATCAGCTGCAGTGGATATATCAATTTTGTAGAATTCTACTGTCATAAAACAATGAATGCCATACTATTAGTTTTACAAGGTAGACCAGATCAGGAAACAGACACCTCCACACCCACCAAAAATATTACTTTTTATATGCTATAACAAGGGTGTCAAACTCGCAGGCCGCAGGTCGGATGCGTCATGTGCTGGCCCTGCCCCCACCCAGTTTAGCGAAGGGGGAAAAGTCCCGATACGTCATATGATGCCTCCATAGCGACGCGAGTTTGACACTCCTGAGCTATAATGTTAGAATCTGGAAAATCTGTTAGCCTTTCTCCTTCCTTCTGTCTGTCTATACCAAAGAGTCTCAAATTGACATAATCTTGAGTTTTCTTCTCATGTGTTCCTGTTTTCCTGGGTTACCTTCATGTTTGCCCAGCAGCTATTGCATATTTTCTTCAAGGCTATTTCCATAGCCCTCTACACTTATTGTATTCAAGTTATATTTCTTACAAAAGCCAGCTGTTGTGGGCCAGTCATTTCCAGCACCACAATTCGAAAGCACGATTTTCCCAGTTTAACATTTTTATTAGGTCATAAGATTAAAATACAAAATACAAAAGTAAATAGGAAGACAAAGGGGGGAGGAAAAGGGGGAGGAAAAATTGAGCAGAAACTGGGAAAAAGAAAAGAAGAAACATTGACTCCCGACTCCCTCCGTTGCAGTAAAATAAAAGCATTAGCATCAAACCACAACTTTTTGTTTTTCCATCATAATATAAACTAGCCATTTCTATAAAAACATATCAACCTAATCAGTAAAACCCAAAATCAAAGTTTCATTTTTTTCCACTTCAAGCACAAAGTTCAGAAGCAGTCTCCATGTAGAAACAAAGGTACTTATATTCCAGGGGTGTCAAACTCAAGGCCTGCGGACCGGATCCAGCCCACGAGGTGCTTAGATTTGGCCCGCGGGGCTGCCCATGAAACAGCGAAGGAACGGCCTGTGATGCCTCTGCCAGTGAAAACGGAGATTGGGGAGGGCTGCAGTAGGCCATTGCGGCTGAAAATAGAGCTCGGAAGCCAGTTTTCACTGGCAGAGAACTCAGGCCACCACAGGCGCCACAAGCTGCCCACACCATCCCTGGCCACGCCGCCTCAGCCCCCCCTCCCGAGGTCAAACACAACCCTGATGTGGCCCTCAATGAAATCAAATTTGACACCCCTGTTATTTTCTTTCCTTTAACCAAAATGGTCAATTTAGCCATTTCTGCCAACTCCACCCAATTCAAAAGCATGATGAGGTGTGTGTATTGATGATATTCAAAGAGCTATTCTCTCTTTAATTATGGGATTTTTTTAAATTTGTCCCTTTGAGTCAATCTTGACTCTTGACAATTACATGCGCAAATCCTTGGTAATGTTTTTAAAACTATTTGCCATTTCGTTCTTCCTACGGCTGAGAGAGAATAACTGAGTCAAGATCCCCCAGCAAGCTTCATGCCTAAGGCAGGGTTAGATCTCACAGTCTTTCAGTGTCTAGCTTGGTGGTTTTAACAAGCACAACAAACTGGTTCTTAGAACATGTTTAGGGATACATCAAATATTGAAAGAGCTCTGCTTTTGTCTGCAATGCAGTCTCCTGCAGAGTTTTATTTCTGCTAGAGAGTATAATTGGACAGGCGATTAACCAAATGTAGCTACCGTTAAGTGCTTCACTGAGTAAACCAACTTCACTGCAGATGCTTTTCTGGATACCAAAACAAATAAATTAGAAATGCATGTATATTTTTTATGTTTCTGCTTTTTCTTTTTTCAAATATTAAATATAAACAAATAGGTTTAGTATTAGAAACTAGTCCATGTTCTAATGCTGTGATGGCAAACCTATGGCACGCGTGCCACAGGTGGCACGCGGAGCCATATCAGTGGGCACGCGAGTGTTGCCCTAGCTCAGCACTGGCCAGCTGATTTTCGGACCTTCCGTGCCCACCGGAAGTCAGGAAACAGGCTATTTCCAGCCTCCGGAGGGCCTCCAGGGAGGTGGGGAAGGCCATTTTCGCCCTCCTCAGGCTCCTAGAAAGGCTCTGGAGCCTCGGGAGAGCGAAAAACGGGCCTTCCAGTCCCATCGGAAGTTGGCAAATGGGCCGTTTCCAGCCTTCGGTGGGGATGGGGAAGGCTGTTTTTGATCTCCCAGGCTCCAAGAAAGTGTCTGGAGCCTGAGGAGGGTGAAAAACGGGCCTACTGGGCCCACTGTGCCATCACGTGCCAAATGCAGGGGAAGCGCAGGGATGTTGCGCGCGCATGTTTGGGGGGTGGGGCACACTGAATTATGGGTGTGGGCACGCGTGGGCGTGACCCCCCTGCGCTCCCCCCGCTTTTGGCACACGATGGCAAAAAGGTTAGCCATCACTGTTCTAATGATTGGATAAGAGGACTGCCTTCCATGTACATTTTCTTCAGAAATTGAATCTAGATAATTTCAGTTTCAATCCAATTTTATGACAGCATTTATCCAGCAAATAAAACAAAGTAAAAGAAAGAAGAAAATAAACAACGAATACACATATACATCAGTCCGTCTTCTTATTTTAGATGGCTACAGGTTTCCCATTGTCCTAGCTTCTTTGAACACCAGTGTTCTTGGAAAAATATGAAGAATCTGATGAAAAGAATACAAAAAACCCCCCCAAAAAAATTGACATTGGGAAAATTCATACATAATATGTGGAGGAAAACCTCTCCTCATGCATTTAGCATCAAACCTAGACAATCTCTAGCATCTAGGTTTATTCATCGTAAAGAGCTCCATGTGAGATTATTCTTGATAATAAAGCAGAAACGAAAATATTACTTTACGCTATTCTGCTACGGATGAAGATGATGATTAATAAATTTCTATCTGAAATACTTATTATTTCCAAATTCCTGTTTACAGTATCTTACGGAATGGTGAATTCTAACATTTACTACTACACAAGAGTAATGTCCCAGCTCTTTCTCGACACACCAGTATCAAAGATGGAGAAGACCAATTTCAGATCTTTGTCCACTATGGAAGATTTCTGGAAGGTACTAATTGAAACGTGATTCTTGATATATTAATGCTATATGCACCTCACACAGATTTAACATATTATCAAAAGAAAACAAAAAAACCCCACTGTTCTAAGTAAGTTACATGTAGGTTTGCTTTGTGAACAGTTGCATGGATAGATATAACCTGATTCATGGTATAACATAAAATGGTTCAACTTCCACTTGTGCACAATAGTAGTGAAAAGGATTTGGGTAAACATTGTTACGGATCATCTATGGTTTAATTTTAATAAATGTTTTATATTTTTTTATATTGCTATATTTTGAACAGGGAAATTAATTGCTAGTACATAAAATAGGTAAACAGTCTTTTCAGGTAACACTGTCACATGATTTGACACAATGAGAGTATCAATGAATGTCTGTATATGTGTGTGTGTGGAGAGAGAGATAAATAGAGAAATAGGTATAGATAGATTCATTCTCTCTCTCCCTCCCTCCCTCCCTCCCTCCCTCCCTCCCTCTCTCTCTCTCTCTCTCTCTCTATCTATCTATATATATATATGGAAAATGAATCTATCTATATCTAGTAATATTTAATAATAAAAGTGATATTTAAAAATTAAATTAAATGTCCAAATGGCAAGAAAGCTTACGTGAGGCGACAGTGATCCTCAAAGCAACTTATAAGCTTTAATACGAATTTAAAATAATTCATTTAAAAAAATATTTTTTAAATGGCTGGAATTCAGTAGAGTCCAGCAAGTCGTACCATCGCTGATCCTCAATCAAAAACATTTCGCTTAATCTTTCAGTTCTCTGAGGGTCCGTTGTTGGATGGACTGTACTGGGAGATGTGGTACAATAATAAAACAGTAGCAGAAAACAGAAGTTTCATCTACCATGAGAATCTGCTTTTAGGAGTGCCTCGTATCCGGCAGCTAAAAGTGAGGAATGCCTCATGTTCAATACCTGAAGATTTAAAAGATGAAATAAAAGACTGTTACGATGTTTACTCGGTGACTAATGAAGACACTGCTCCGTTTGGGCTCCGTAATGGGACAGCGTATGTATTTCTTCACATTCATATAGACCAGGCGTGGGTAACTATGGCAACTTTACAACCTGTGGACATCAATTTCCAGAATTCCTGAGCCAGCCATGCCCCTGATAAACATAGATGTCTTAATCTCACAGCTATTTAACCAGAATTTAAAGATTCTAAGGCAGGGATGTCAAACTCAATTTCATCGAGGGCCACATCAGGGTTGTATTTGACTTCGTGGGGCCAGGCTGGGCCAGCCCAACCTCATTTGTGTCAGGGGCGCCTGTGGTGGTCCAAGTGCTCTGCCAGCAAAAACAGGCTCCCGAGCTCCGTTTTCGGCTGTGATGGCCTCCTGCAACCCTCTGGCAGCGAAAATGGAGCTTGGGAGGGCCCTCCAGAGCTCTGTTTTTGCTGGCAGAGGCACCACGGGCCGGTCCTTTGCTGTTTTCAGGATGGGGCCACAAGCCAGATCTAAGCATCCCACGGGCCAGATCTCATGATTCTAATGTTGTGTTTCAGTTGGACGTACACCAGTGAAAAAGACTTGAATGGAAGCAGCCACTGGGGTTTGATTGCCACGTACAGTGGATCTGGCTATTACCAGGACCTTTCGAAAAGCAAAGAAGACACTTCTGCCTTGATTGCTGTCCTTAAGAACAACTTGTGGCTTGACAGAGGCACAAGGGCAGTATTTTTCGACTTTTCAGTCTACAATGCAAATATCAATCTCTTCTGCATTGTCAGGTGAGCCTGGAATGTTTGACTGTTGACTGACTATTAACTCTTGATTTGCAAAGCCACAATCTGGTGCATGTAGATCAGGGGTGAAATGCTCTGAAGTCTGCGGTTAAAAATAATTTTAGTTAAAATGTTTTAATAAAATACTTAAAGCATAGGATTTGCATAGGTATTTTTACTTATAACTTTGACATCTCAATTGTCCACACTTGGGTTAAAAAAGATTTTTAATATTAGCTGAGCCACAAAATAATAATCTATGACAAAATAACTTTTATTTTTAAATGCAGGTTATTGGTGGAATTCCCACCCACTGGAGGTCTCCTGACATCCTGGCAATTCCAGCCCGTGAAGTTAATCCACTACATTTCCACTTTCGACTTCTTCTTGGCTGCTTGTGAAATTGTGTTTTGCCTCTTTGTTATTTATTATGTGGTGGAAGAAATCCTGGAAATTCACATTCACAGGTTGTTCTATTTTAGGAGTCTTTGGAACTGTCTCGATGTTCTCATTATCACAGTAAGTAAACCCATTTAAATACTGACCAATTTGAAATATTCCTGAAACTTTGGAAGGAGTTGCCAACTCTCAAGCCTCTGATCAAAAAAGAGATGCCTCCTTGTTTGTCCTTTCTATACCATAACTGTTAGAGATGCCTTCCTTCCTGATGCTGCTAGAAAAAATATATAATTTAAAATAAAGCACAGCCTTCCCATGTTTGATGAATTAGTAGCCATAGCAATGGAAGAGGAAGCCAGATGCTTATACTACAAAGCACTTTATACTGTATTTTTCTACTTTATTTATGTAGCTGCCCATTTGACTTTTACGTGATGCTAGGAGGCTTACAATATACAGATAAAAACACTTAAAACAAAATGTCTATGGAGTTTCTTAGTCATCCAGGTCATGTTTGTCCCAAAGGTGCTTTTTCAAAAGGCAACTGGACTTTCTGATTTTTCTTTAAAAATGTTTTGCTTCTCATCCAAGAAGCTTCTTCAGCACCTTTGGGACTTAAAACAAAAATAAAAATGAATAGCCGGGCATCATCTTAATCCATCATACATACAATCAGGAGATGGTTCTCTAAAATGGGCCCCAAGCGTGAGCATAAAGCAGGGATGAAATCCAGCAAGTTCTGACAGGTTCTGGAGAACCAGTAGTGGAAATTTTGAGTAGTTCGGAGAACCAGTAGCGGAAATTTTGAGTAGTTCGGAGAACCAGCAAATATCACCTCTGGCTGGCCCCAGAGTGGGATGGGAATGGAGATTTTGCAATATCCTTTCCCCAAGAGTGGGGAGGGAATGGAGATTTTGCAGTATCCTTCCCTGCCACGCCCACCAAGCCACACCACGCCCACCAAGCCACGCCCACAGAACCGGTAGTAAAAAAAATTGAATTTCACCACTGGCATAAAGCCATGTTTTCAAGACATTCTGAATGGTCCAGAAGGATGGGCTACAAATTTCAAAGTGGTATCCAACTGTGTGGACAATCTTTTTGAATCTCTTTTCAATACCGTTTCCTTAATATTCTATATATCTACTTACGGTACTAAAGATACCCCAAATGTTTTCTTCTGATGGTACCATGTGTTAATTAGAAGTTAAAAGGACAGTTGTCTTTATTGACAGGATTGCAATATTATGCAGGAGCGGTAAAGTTAATCCACTAAACTTTGTGTATGTTTTCTTTTCCCCCTGTTCGTTTGTTCTCAGCTATCATTGGCAGCTATTGGCTTGAATATCTATCAAATATCTACTGTGGATAAGCTACTGAAGAAACTGCTGGAAGATCAAAATAGCTTCCCCAATTTTGAACCTTTAGCATACTGGCAAATCCAGTTCAACAATGTTGTAGCTGTTACCTTGTTTTTTGTCTGGATAAAGGTAATTTGAATTTTACTGAGATAATTCAAGTAAATGAAGACACTTTATAAGAACATTGTTTTTTTTTTTGAAAAACTAAATATTTATAATTTGCATTCAAGGTCTATTGCTTTTTTAAATGTGTATCTACCCTAAAAGTCAGGAACAAAGAACATTTTAAAAGCCCCTCAATGTACTGCAATAAATACAATCCTTGCAATTAAGGGTTTTTTTTTACTCCTTTCTGACATGGCATATAAAAATTATTTTAAAAGCGTTGGTTGACTAAAAGAGTTTTTCCTAAAAAGGAGGAGAAATCCCAATCCAATTTAGCTTTTCCCATAATTGCAGGATTAATAATACAACTTAGAATTAAGTATATGACAATTCATGCTATGAATGAGTATTATGTGGTTGCATGGAAAATTAAAAAGCAGCTCCTAAAAATATTTCTGCCTAAAGCGGTGGCTCAGTTCACATGCTATGATAAATCATGGTTTATGAGGGGGAAAAAAATGTAAGCCCACCATTGGGCTTACAGTTTCCATCTTACACAGCAGAAATTTAATAATAAAATTCACTGAAAATGAAAATGGCTTACAATTGATTGGCTTTGAGACAATCCACACAATACTAAATCGCATTCCTAGGTTTTATACATCTTTTGGCAAAAGCAAAATTAAAGGTCATTTGAAGACCTTTTAGTCTTGCAAAAGAATAATAGGTAGGATAACAGTTTAGGTTCTAAAGCATTTCTCTCTCTTGTGCCATGCAAATCACATCTAGAGTAATGAAAAGCTTCCATCATCATGAATTTGTCCACTGGATAGAGGTCGCCTTCTAAAGATGATCAGGCCAAGATAAAGTTTTGTAGAGTATTTAAGACATGAAATACAGTAGACATTTTAAGCTTCTACAGGGCTTAAGGCAACCATTTTACTCTTTAACTTTCTCTTCCCAAATCAAAACAAAAAAAGAGACAAAGTTATCTGAGTCATTGGTAGGGATGGGGGTGGGGCAGAGAGAGAGAGAGCCATGAAAAGGATAAACTACATGCTGTCTCCAATCCAGGAGGTCCAGTGAGGAGGAGGATCAAAGATGGCAGCATGAATTTATGGGATGAGTTCTGAGGAAGAGCTGTAGTCAAGGCAAAATCAGAAAAGGGCAACCTGAGTCCAGAGCAGGAATGGAATTTGAGAAAGTATCTCAGACCCTCTCTAGTTCTCGCTAGGAAAAAGGCTGGGAAGGGAGAGGGGCACATTCGGAATTACAAAATTCTGTTACTGTAACCCTATAATTAAATATAAGTATTCCTCGACTTGCAACAGCTCATTTAGTGACAGAGTTACATTTCAATTGTGGACGTAAGTGTATTTTCAGTATTCATGACGTTGGCGTTCATGTTTGGTCTACCTCAAAAGGCTGAATTTTGCCTGTATCCTAAAAAGAACTTGAAAGAGTAAAGTTTGAGACACATTCTCAAATTCCATTTCTACTCTAATCACTGCCAGGGCTGTAGCTCTTCCTCCTCTTCTTCTAGATTATTCTCATGGCTCATTACATCATACAATCAAAGCCCCACCACTGTTTTACATACTTCATGCAACTTAATATGATATAAAAATACAAACTATTTCCGCTGTAATTGATATTTACAGTATATTCTGTCCCCAAGAATGACTTTCTTTTTTGTCTCTTCTAATAATATATTACTGAGATAGTACATTCAGAGTTTGAGGAAGGGGTGGGCTCCTGGGGGTTCAGCAGGATTCGGGCGATCCTCTAGCCAAGGATTGCCGGGGTTCAGCGAACCCCCAAATGCACCCCTGGCTGGCCACTCCCACTCCCACCCTGCCCTTCCCCTCCCAGAAGACGCCACATGGCCCGTTCATCACTCCAGGTTAGTGCAGGGGCCATGCGGAGGGTCTGGGAGGGCAAAAAACGGGCCTACCAGAGGTTCTGGAAGTCTGGAAATAAGCCTGTTTCCGGCCTCCAGAGGGCCTCTGGACCTCAGGGGAAGCTGTTTTCACCCCCCAGAGGCTCGAGGAAAGCCTCTAGAGCCTAGGGAGGGCAAAAAATGGGCCTCCTGGAAGTTCCAGATGTCCAGAAACAGGCCTGTTTCTGGCCTCCGGAAGGCCTCTGGACCCCGGGGAAAGCAGTTTTTACCCTCCTGGAGGCTTGAGAAAAACCTCCAGAGCCTGGGGAGGGTGAAACACACACACACACCCGCTGTGGTGCAGGTGGCCAACTAGGCCACGCCCACCATGGCCATGCCCACCCAGCAACGGGGCAGCGAACCCGTTGCTAAAGGATCTGAAGCCCACCCCTGGTTTGAGGTGAAAACATCCAAGCACCAAGATAGACAAATGACCACCAAAAATGAAAATAAGGTTACTATTTAAACCTTTAATATACTATTTACTTTGTATATATTTTGAGCTGCCAAAAAAGCAATCTTTGGAATAGTCCTTGACATAAAGTTTCTTAATATTTAAGATATGGTTTCCATATAAATTTTAATATATGAGATTGAAATATCCAACTTAACTATTTGGTATGGAATTGGTTCACTGCAATTCTTTCTAGTCGGTAGCCCAATTCTTTCAGCTACTGTTTGTTCCTTGTTTTAAACCATTTTCTCTTCTTTATCAGCTTTTCAAATTTATCAGCTTCAACCAAACCATGAACCAGTTGTCAACAACCATGTCAAGATGCGCCAAAGATGTTCTTGGCTTTGGAATTATGTTTTTCATCATCTTCTTAGCTTATGCTCAGCTAGCTTACCTTGTCTTTGGGACACAAGTTAATGATTTCAGTACTTTCCAGGACAGCGTGTAAGTAGAATGAACTTCTTTGTTTGTTTGTATATTATAATTTAGATTTCTAAAGCTGTCCAATTCAACAATTAAGGTTGGTGAATAAATTCAAAACACAATCATAGTTCATTAAACTGGAGAAAATAAGAACATAGAGGTACCCCTCAACTTACAAAAGTTCATTTAGTTCAAAGTTACAACAGCATTGAAAAAAAGTGATTTATGACTGTTTTTCACACTTGCAACTGTTACAGCAGCTCCATGGTCACATGATGCTTGGCATCTGGCTCATATTTATGACGGTTGCATTGTCCCGGGGTCATGTGATCACCGTTTGCAACCTTCTGATCAGCAAAGTCAATGGGAAACCAGATTCACTTAACAACTGTGTTACTAACTTAATAACTGCAGTGGTTCACTTAACAACCATGGCAAGAAGGTAGTAAATAGGGCAAAATTTGTTTAACGACTGCCTCGCTCAACAACAGAAATTTTGGGCTCAGTTGTGGTTCTAAATCCAGGATTACCTGTAATACACTATATGCGCCCCAGAAGTGACAGAAAAATCATCCTTCCTTGGCTCCATCACAAGGCATTACTTAATAGATAGGATATAAGGGATTATATATGTCTGATTAGCTTGGGGATATTTCTTACATATCGCAATCCCATGGCATGAAATGTGTGAGCATCACCCCTGAAGACAGCCTGAGTCAAGCCAAATGGAGATGGCTTTGCCAACAAGTGGACTCTGCCATAGCACAAGAATAATGCTAGGAAGAAGAAGCGCATCCTAATTACACTGTTTCCTTCAAAGCAAACATCATATTGAGAAGTGGGGGAAAAAGTAAGAAATACAGGTAGCCCTTGACTTCCAACCACAACTGACCACAACAAATTTCTGTTGCTAAGTGAAACGTGTTAAATGAGTTTTGTCTCATTTTATGACCTTTCTTGCCATGGTTGTTAAGTGAATCACTGCAGTTGTTAAGTTAGTAACATGATTGTTAAGTGAATCTAACTTCCCCATCAGCTTTGGTTGTCAGAAGGTCACAAAAGCTGACCACCTTACCAAAGGTATACTGCAACGGCTGTAAGTGTGAATAAGTCATTTTTTTCAGTGCCGTTGTAACTTTGAACGGTCACTAAATGAACTGTTGTAAGTCGAGGACTAGCTTTAGAAACCAGAGAAATTAAAAGACAAGAGATATAAAAATGAAAAAGACAGAACTGTGTATTTGCAAATTAGTTTTGTTTTCATTATATCCATACAATATTTCAACCTTTGTTCCTTAAATTATCTCTTCCATCGGCATCTTATGAAATCCATCCAACAACAGCTTTCTTGCTTGGGCTTCCTATCAATTTCAACTCATTCACTGTTCCATCGTATAGTCATTTTGCAATATGGTCCTCGTTCATTTTTTGTGATCATACAAAATCTCAATGAATTTCCTCCACCCTGGTCCATCTTGAATTCAAACTGCTTTTACCCATTCATTCTTGAACCTGTTTGTTTGTTTGTTTGTTTGTTTGTTTGTTTGTTTGTTTTAGCGCACACTTCATCAATACTCATTTATTTATTTATTTATTTATTCGATTTATATGCTGCCCTTCTCCGGAGACTCAGGGCGGCTTACAATGCATTAAGCAATAGCCTTCATACTTTTGTATATACCTGCTTAGTAGGGCTTTCGGCCCCCCCTAAGCGGTGTTCTTTTTTATACAAAGTCAGCTTATTGCCCCCACAATCCGGGTCCTCATTTTACCTACCTCGAAAGGATGGAAGGCTGAGTCAAATTGAGCCTGGTGAGATTTGAACTTGCAGTAATTGCAGGCAGCTGGTGCTACTTAACAGCACTTTAGTCTGCTGCGCCACCAAGGCTCTTTCCGTTGTATTCAGCTTACTTCAGCCTCTCGGCTACAGAATGCATTCAAACACCTGATTTTGCACTGGAAATATCCTGAAAGATTAAAGTTCATTGGTAAAGAAAATTCCAGTTCCACGCAGTGCCTTAACTGTTGGCTAAACTTTAGTGTGTTATTCTCTTTAAAGCTTTACTCAGTTCCGCATCCTGCTGGGAGATTTTGACTTTACAGAGGTTGAAGAAACTAACAGGATCTTAGGACCCGTTTATTTCACTTCATTTGTGTTCTTTATGCTCTTCATTCTTTTGGTATGTAACTTTTTTTTGTTCCTTCACATTTTTGTTGCTGGTCATCTTTTCAAATGGAAGTTTATTTTGCATTATTATTTTTCAGTACAGCTAATACCAGTTTTATGCTATGTATCTGTGTACCAGAAGAACAAAAAAAAAAAAAAGACCAAATCTCACAAGAAGCATGCACCTTCCAAATCCTTATACTAGTACTGGGAGAATCTCATTGCTGTATTACTATACTAAAAAGTGGGCAGGTTTCACAAACATCAAATCAAAAAGGTATAGATTCCTCTGCATCCAACTTGCTGTGGCCAACTTGCCATAGCCAACTCACTATGGCCACTGTGGCCAATTTGACATGGGACAATTTGCTATGGAACAAGAGTTACACTAATATCGAAGAAGTGGTGGAATAGAATCATTAAAGAAAGGATGCCAAAGGAGGGACAGAATGAAATGTGAATGACAAAAAGTAAAATATTTTTTTAAATTATTTGAAATAATTAAATTGAATTGTTGAATTGTCCTGTGCCAAATTGTCCCACGGTGAGTTGGCCATGGAGAGTTGTCCTATGGTGAATTGGTCACGGCGAGTTGGCTGTGGTGAGTTGTCCCATTCCATCTTGGTCTGATAATCTGCCAAGTGCCTGTCAAAAATCAAAACCAGTGGTGCTATTCAGCCGATTCAGACCGGTTTGGGCAAATCGTTAGTTAACTTGCTGGCTGGCCCCACCCCTTTCTGCCCCACCCCTTCCAGGAGTCCCCACGCACCCCATTTTGGCTTCCAGATAAGTGCAGGGAGGTCTCCTAGGCCCAAATCGGGGCGTGGGAGTGGCATGCCCCCCTATGGCCCATTTTTACTCCCAGGAGGCTTTGGGCCTAGGAGTCCCAAAATGGGGGGCGCAGGGGCGGCACGCCCACCCCATGGCCCATTTTCGCTCCCAGGAGGCATCAGGGAGGCTTCCTAGGCCCAAAATGGGGCGCGAGGGGTGACGCCTCCCCCCCATGGCCCATTTTTGCTCTCAGGGGGTTGCAGGAGGCCGAGTGCTGCCTGTCACACCCCCGGGCCACGCCCACCAAGCCACGTCCATAGAACCGGTAGTAAAAAAAATTTGTATCCCACCACTGATCAAAACCCATGTGGTTCACATTGGACGTACATGGAATGCTGGCCTGAAATCTCACAGGTATCCTGTGTTAGCAAGTGATGAAACTGCTTCAGTTTCTGAATATATGAATAGGCATTAGTACAAATGGCAATCTAATATCCAGTTTTCATATCAAAATGAATGAAACTTAAGGGTGTGCCCTGCTATATTTCCTTCTGCATTGTCCACATGCCACATAAATGGTTTTATTTTTGTTTTTACTAATGACCACTCTGGTAAAATACATAAAATCAACTTAAAAGGACCAGAAAAACATTGTTTAATATTTGCAGTTGCCAATCCTAATTGCTAGAGGTACTGAAAAAATTACTGTTTTTGTACTGGGATCCTTAAAAACAGGAAGTCAGTGTTTTTTTGTTTTTTAAAAAAATATTTCTAAAGTGCTTTTTTTAAACAGAACATGTTTTTGGCCATAATCAACGACACATATTCAGAAGTCAAAGCTGATATGATACAGCAGAAATCGGAAATGGAACTTTCAGATCTTATTAAGAAGGTAATCTCACCCTTGGATTGTTTAACACTGTATTATCTAATTGTTGTTTCCATAATGGGATGTGGGGAGGAAAAACATTTTATCATTTTATTCAAAGATTTTAAAATGAAAGAGATTGGAATATCTTCCTAGGTAGCACAATCTGTTGTTACCAGAACCTCATCTGACAATCAGCTATCATACCTATATATAATAGAGTCTGGATATGATTTATAACAATGTTTTTCAAACTTGTCAACTTTAACTTGTGTGGAATTCAATTCCCAGAATTCCCCAGATGGCTGGGGATTTAGAAATTTTAAGGATAAGTAAATCAGTTACTTTAACAAATACTTCTAAATCAAGAAAAGCTATAGAAATGGATCCAGGCAACTCATACAAATACTTACAGCCTCACACTTCTATGTAAACATCTCACACAGGATAACTGTGAGGTAATATATTGTTTGAAAAGAGAGATTTAGTTTATCAAAGCAAAAACGACCCATATGGGTAGAAAATGAAAAAAAAAAAAATCACCTCATTTATACTATGTAAGTCTGCAATTGCTAAGCCATTAGCTTCTGTTGGAAACCTCAAGGCACTGCATTGCATTGCTTACCTAACAATTATATCCACATAAGGAATATATCGCTCTCCTTTTTCAGGGATACACCAAAGCCATGGTGAAATTAAAATTGAAAAAAACACCCGTCGATGACATTTCAGAGAGTCTGCGTCATTGTGGAGGCAAATTAAATTTTGATGAACTGCGGCAAAACCTAAAGGGGTAAGTTTGCACAGTTCCTTCTTCTTTCGTACGAAGACTAAATAACAAATAAATGATCGCACAGTTGCTTTCAAAATAACTACTGTTTTCCATAGCCCCAAATGGAGTAAAGAAATAGTACACCAAGGAATTTGATAAGAAAAAAAAAAGAAAGGAAATGTAGTTAAATCTAGTTTATCACACGACCGTTTGCAATTTCTCTCCATATCTTTCTGTTCTTGCAAACTAGTCGTCTTTGTATCATATCCGCTGCCTTTTGTTTAATTTCTCACATCTCATTTCCAGATTCTCATCATTTCTTTCAAATCATGAATTTTTTTTTTTATGGTCTTTCCCTTCCTCTCAGCATATTTACCTCCCTTTATGTTTGTGATTGGATCTTTATTTCCTCTTTCCATAAACCAGACTATCTGAACTTCTTTGTATCATTTGCATATGAAAATATATGTCCATTCTCCTAATCACAAGCATTTCTTACAAGTATCCATAAAACATACTTTACTTCTATCATACAGCACTCTTATTTATCTCAATTAACTAAGTTACAAGAAAGTGTCTGTCTCCCTTATTTACTGGCTTAAAGTAAAGGTACAATTACTCCACAATAGTACTTTTTCAGGGCATACTTTTATACAGAGTAAGAATTCTGGTTGCATTTAGTGACTCTGCTAATTTTATGACAGTTCTACAAAACAGTAATATAATTAAGTTGCTGGATACCGAATGCCTCTGCGAAGGCCCCTTATTTATTCCTAGCACCAGAAAAAATTTTTTACTGAAACATTTAAAGCAATCATATTTAAAACCTTAACTTCCAGAAAGGGACGTACGGATGCTGAGATTGAAGCCATCTTTACAAAGTATGATCAAGATGGAGATCAAGAATTGACTGAGTTGGAGCATCAACAAATGAGAGATGATTTAGAGAAAGAGAGGGTGAGCTTTACATTGGATGGCATGATTATATTCTTGAAAAAAAGGGCCGGGGGGGTGGATTATTTGTTAGCCTGCACCAGTGGTGGTATTTAGCCAGTTCTATCTGGTTCGTGCGAACCAATAGCGGTGGCTAGCGGTCATCATGTCCCATTTTTGATGCTTTGTGCATGCACGGAAGGTCCTGTGCATGCGTGGAAGGTCCTGCGCATGCGTGGAGGTGGTGCATGCGAGCAAAGCGAACACGTGTGAAAGTGCACTCACATTTGGCAACAGGTAGCAAAGGTAAGTGAATATCACCCCTGGCCTGCACTGCAATTGTATCAGAAAGAAATCTTTATGGTTATGAATGCAGTACAGAATTCTGGAATTACATTTCTTTGGAAATTTGCTTTTTGATTTTCAGAGAAGCATTTTTTCCGAGTTCTGTTTACTAAATTTGTACAATCTCATTTTATTGCTAGTGAAGATCTCTGGCTGCTGAGTGTTGAATGACGAGGCAACAAAATAGTATACAGGTAGTCCCTCACCACAATTGAGCCCAAAATTTATGTTGTTAAGCAAGACGTTTGTTAAGTGAGCTTTGCCCCATTTTATAGCCTTCCTTGCCACAACTGTGAATCACTACAGTTGATAAGTTAGTAACCTGGTTGTTAAGTGAAACTGGCTTCCCCGTTGACTTTGCTTGTCAGAAGGTTGCAAGATATGACCTTGGCACACAGCATTGGTCATAAGTATGAACCATTTGCCGAGCATCTGAATTTTGATTACATGATCATGGGGATGCTTCAAAGGTTGTAACTCTGAAAAATGGTCATAAGTCACTTTTTTCAGTGCTGTTGTAACTTTGAACGGTCACTAAATGAATTGTTGTAAGTGGAGGACTACCTTCTATTAGGCTTGGATAGGAAATGTTTTGCTCATCCTGAATTGTAGTAGGTTGGTTTGGGCAATCTACTATTTACCTTGAAAGAACCACAAAACTATTCTGAGTTGGTCAAGCAGGTTTCCATTGTCTGCAAATATGACACACAGATTGTAGGAGTAAGGAAGAGTCAAATTCTAACAGTTGTGTTTGTTTTCACTAAGGAGGACTTAGAGCTAGACAGAAGTTCTCTAAACCGTCCACTCAGTGGCCGTAGCTTTCCACGAAGCCTCGATGATTCGGAAGAAGATGATGATGATGACAGTGGACACAGCTCCAGAAGAAGAGGCAGCAGCTCAAGTGGTGTCTCATACGAAGAGTTTCAAGTGTTCGTGTTACAGTTTTTTTTCTGTCAAATCCCACTTTATTCATTGTAAAATACAGAATTATGTCAAGAACTCGTGATACTTAACCATACAAATCTCTTTCCATACAAATCTTCTTCTCAATTGCATCTTGTTGGAATAGCAATAGCAATAGCACTTAAGACTTATATACAGCTTCATAGTGCTTTAACAGCCCTGTCTAAGCAGTTTACAGAGTCAGCCTGTTGTCCCCAACAATCTGGGCCCTCATTTTACCCACCCCGGAAGGATGGAAGGCTGAGTGAACCTTGAGCCTGGTGAGATTCGATCTGCCAAACTGCTGGCAGCCGGTGATCCGCAGAAGTAGCCTGCAGTACTGCACTCTAACCACTGCGCCACCGCAGAATAGAACTGAGGCTACTTCAGTCTCTCTTATCCAAGAATCCACTAGACTCGTGGACATAGATGTTCCTAATGAAAGTAGATGAAAGATTATTTTCTCACGAATGAAGGCGAATATACGTTTCCCAGGTTAATGTTGCAGGATCCAGTCTGGGTCGATCACCAGTATCAGAGGTTTTGTCTTCTGAGCTTTCGGACTCATGATGGAGCCCACCTTCAGGGAACTTCTGTCTAGCAGTATTTGTGCTTTGGGCTGTTCTCTGTGTGTGTGCCTGTATTTACACAGAACAGCCCAAACCACACGCTCTGCTAGGGAGAAGTTCCCTGAGGATGGGCTCCAGCATGAGTCCAAAAGCTCGGAAGACAAAAACTCTGGTCCCGGTGACCAACCCAGATTGGATCCTGAAAGATTTATTTTAACTGTTATTCTGCCCATCTTTGGGATAGAGATTTAAAAGAAAACATGTTCCTACTGTTCTTGAAACCATAACTCTTTATCAAAATGCATTCTGCTTTCAGTTTGGTCCGCCGAGTGGATCGCATGGAACATTCCATAGGCAGCATTGTATCCAAGATTGATGCTGTCATAGTCAAGCTGGAAACTATGGAGAGAGTTAAATTGAAGAGGAAAGAGGTCTTGGGCAGGCTGCTTGATGGAGTTGCAGAGGTAAACTTACTTAACACTGGCTAAATATTCAGTATTTATTTTGCAAGTTACTGTTTTAATTTCTTCAGTTGAAAGAACATTACTAATTGATCATGTGCCATATGCCCTGTTTCCCCCCAAATAAGACATCCCCTGATAATAAGCCCAATCGGGCTTTTGAGCGCATGGCAATAAGATGAAGCACTTATTTCAGGGTTCAAAAAAATATAAGACAGGGTCTTATTTTCAGGGAAATACGGTAGCCATTGTCAACTCTTAGCGAGCAATGTAGATGGATTTTCATCATGATAATCTGTCTCTACACTTGCTCTTTCTAGTTCAAACCCATACTTAGGCAAGAAACCCTATACCATTTCAGTCAAATGATTATCCAATCTCGTCTTAAAAATTTCCAGTGTTGTATTATATGTTGTACTATGAATTATAATCAATAATTCATAGCAAGTTATTTGATCAGAATTATACCATTCTGATTACAGATAGTTCTCAATTTACAACCATTTGCTTAATGATCGAAGTTAAAACGACACTGAAAAGACTGATTTGGGACTGGTCCTCACACAACTGTTACAGCATCCTCAGGTCACACGATCAAAATTTGGGCACTTAGTAACTAGCATGTATTTACAACAGTCGCAACATCCTGGGGTCATATAATTGCCATTTGCAACCTTCCCAGGTGGGGAGCAAAGTCAGTGGGTGAATCTGGATTCGCTCAATGACTACATGATTCCCTTAACAACTCTCTTGACCACCATGGCTAAAAAAGATCATATAATCGGGCACAATCCACTTAGCAACTGTCATGCATAGCAATGGAAATCCTGGTCCCAATTGTAAATTGAAAACTACCTGTTATTATTAAAAAACAATTTAGAAATATGTTTATTTCTTTGCGCTAAAAGAGAGTTTAGCCATTTGAGCATGATCAGAGACCGTGGTATTTCTGCTTAGGATGAAAGGCTGGGTTGTGAGAATGACGCGCACAGGGATCAGATGGAGAGGCTTGTACGAGAAGAACTGGAACACTGGGAATCTGATGATGCTGCTTCCCAAGTAAGCCAACGATTGGGAACCCCAGTGGGATTCAACAGCCACGGACGGACCAGGAATCCACGTCCTTCTTCCTCACAGTCCACAGAAGGCATTGATGGAGGAGGGGGAGGGGGAAGGGGAGGGGGGAAGGAAGGGGGAGGAAATAAAGGGAGCAACATCCATGTCTAGTAGCATTTCTATTTGCTCAAAATATTTTCCACAAATCATGAGTTAACTAAATAACAAGATGCCTTGGGACAAAGCTGTGATTTTATAGAGCAGGGGTGTCAAACTCGATTTCATTGAGGGCTGCATCAGGGTTATGTTTGACCTGGAGGGGCAGAAGGCATAGCCACAATGGGCATGGCCATCTCGACGTCACTTGTGTTGGGGGCACCTGTGGAATCCACTTTTGCTAGTAATTTGTTTTGCTAGCATTCTGCCAGCGAAAACAGAGCTTGGGGGGCCCCACACAGCCCCCCTGGGCTCCATTTTCAGCTGTGATGGCCTCCAGTAGCCCTCTGCCAGCGAAAAGGGCAGGGGTGAAATCCAGCAGGTTCTGACAGGTTCTGGAGAACCGGTAGCGGAAATTTTGAGCAGTTCGGAGAACCGGTAGCAGAAATTTTGAGTAGTTCGGAGAACTGGCAAATACCACCTCTGGCTGGCCCCAGAGTGGGATGGGAATGGAGATTCTGCAATACCCTCCCCCAGGAGTGGGGAGGGAATGGGGATTTTACAATATCCTTCCCCTGGAATGGGGTGGGAATGGAGAGTTTGCAGTATCCTTCCCCTGCCACGCCCACCAAGCCACACTATGCCCACCAAGCCATGCCCACAGTACCGGTAATAAAAAAAATTGGATTTCACCACTGGAAAAGGGCCACTGCGCACGGCCCTCCTGAGTTCTGTTTTCGCTGGCAGAGGCACCGTGGGCCAGTCCTTGGCTGTTTCCAGGGCAGCTCCATGGGCCGGATCCAGCCTGCGGGCCTTGAGTTTGACACCCCTGTTATAGAGTAAGATAGAGGAAACTATCATGTTGAGATCTGATCTAGTTTTAAAAAACCAGAGCTTCTTGTTCTAAATGCCCTTGGTTTCCTTTCCAATTGCTTTCATTAGAAAGATGTACATTTCTCTACTGTTAAGAGAAAATAGGTAAGCTAGTAAATTTATTTTCCAGTTCTAGAACTTAAGGTAACAGTGCTTTGCACATTTACCTGGCAGTAAGATATATTGAAACCCGAGACATACTTCTAAAAGAAAACATGCATAAAATATACTATTTCTAGCTGTTTCATGTGGAGTAATCAAGTCTATATGATTTTCTTCTGACACTCTTCCCTTTTTTTAATTGAAACAGGTAGTCTGTAATACGTTCTCTGCAAAATAATACATACAGAAGTAATATCAATGTTTGGCTGCATGAATTAGCTTATCATCATTTCAATATGATAGATTTGCCTTTTAATCTTGTAAGATTTCAGCTTACCAAAAAGGAATTCCTATTTTGACAAAGCCTATTTTATATGGTTGTTGGGAGGATAACCTTCATTATTCTCAAAGCCCCTTTGAGAAAAAAATGTACGACACAATTTAGCAACGTTAATCATCTTGCAGATGAAAATGCACGATTATAGGAAAAATTTCCCATAATAGCATATTGTTCTGAAAGGGCCACTTATAATTGTCCTTGTGAAATTATGTACTGGAAAAAGCATTCTCTGGAGCATAATCTTCATAAGACCATAAAACAGGGATCTGATTAAATATATTCTGAAAGCATTTATGAAAATAATTTCAGTAAAAAATAAATAAATAAACACAGTAAGTTAAATGAGCTGTTCTAACAGAAAACTGGACAGCAAAATGTACAGTATTTAATGGGGTGCTTCTACAAGATTTATATTCTTGTATTTCATTGCATGTAAGTCAAGACAGAGAGGTTGGGGAAAGGTGTAGAAGTGCAGGTCAGATTAAGATATAGAAGAATTGCATGTAACATATTTCAAAATGTAACATGCATATATGATGCATATCTGGCAACTGGATTGCTTCTGGCAGGGAGGACCAGATATGTTCTATACCAGTGGTCTCAAAATTTAGCAACTTTGAGACTTCTGGACTTCAGCTCCCAGAATTCTGGGAACTGGGAATTGAAGTCCACAAGCCTTAAAGTTGCTAATTTTGGAGACCCCTGTTCTATACTGTAGATCAGGGGTGTCAAACTCGATTTTCTTGAGGGCCGTAACAGGGTTGTGTTTGACCTTGGGGGGGGGCGGGGGACGTGGCCATCTCGTCATCACTCATGTCGGGGTCACCTGTGGCAGCCTGAGAGCTCTGCCAGGGAAAATGGGCTCCTGAGCTCTGTTTTCAGCTGTGACAGTGGCCTGCAACCCTCTGCCAGTGAAAACGGAGCTCAGGAGGGCCCTCACGATCTCCGTTTTCACTGGCAGAGGCATTGTGGGCCAGTCCTTTGCTGTTTCCAGGGTGGCCCAGCGGGCCAGATCTAAGCACCCTGCGGCTTGGATCTGGCCCCCGGGCCTTGAGTTTGACATTCCCGCTGTAGATGCTTCATCTTATATTGTTCTGATTTTCATGGCAAGAACACTCCTTGGGTTACTCAAAACAGTGCCAAGCAAAGCTTTGTAAAACACTTGTATCTTTAACTCCTGAAATCACCCACGCTTTGGGTATTGAGGTATTGAGTGGGAAACTGTTCACATGGCTTATTATGCTTGCTTTTAAGTTATATCTTCCTGTTCTTTTTAACAACCCTCACAATAATAGAGTTTCACATAAAAGAGTACTATGAAAACCAAAGGTTTGCATTCATATGGTAATAGCTTATATTTCTGTAACATGTTGTTACTTCATAACAAACTTCATTTTGAAGTGCATTCAGATTTCATGGATAGCCATGCGTGTTGACAATGTACACATACATTTAAAGTATGACAGCAAAGAAGCTTGAGTATCTGCTATTTTGCACACTATATATATATATGGTTCCAAAGTGCCAATATATTTCTAGGATAATGTTGCCTTAGAAAAGAATATAAATGTTAATTTTGAACATTTCAGAGAATGGTAAAAATGTACCAATGAACAACTTCCTGACCAATAAAGATTTTGTGTGTTTTGAAGTTGTTTGAGTGGCTAAAAGGGAGGGGGAAGTGGGCTTTGCATCCATTTCAAAGGAAGGGATATTTTTTTACTCTGCTCTTAAATGCCATCCAACTAATTGTGAAATAAAATAAAAGATTTATAATCCAGTATTTTTATTTGCTTTAATATTTCTGGTTATGGGACTTTGCATTTTACTGTTTACAATCTAAATCATAAGGATGACTTCCTTTCTATGGTCATTTTGGGAAGCTACACAGAAACTTTAAATGAAAACGGATGTTACTAGTCCTTTCTCTTTTCGATCTTTTATCCCATGAAAAGACAGTGAAGTTGGTTGAAAGCTTGTAAACAGCATACCTGGTCATATGGACCAGATCAGCAGATTAAATGTTATTTTTGTCTTCCATGGTCACACGGATTAAAAATAAGAAAATTCCTTTTCTAATTCTGTCACATCAATTTAGTTATTTATAAAAAATATTGCTGACATAAAATTGAATGCAGGTAGTCCTCGACTTACAACCATTCGTTTAATGACCATTCGAAGTTGCAATAGCACTGAAAAAGTTATTTATGGTCGCTTTTCACACTGACGAGTGTTGGAGCATTGTTGTGATCATGATCAAAATTCAGATGTTTGGTAACTGGCTTGTAATTATGGCAGGGTATTATGCAGGGTCTTGAGGTCATGCGATCACCTTTTGTGACCTGACAAGCAAAGTCAATGAGAAAGCCAGATTCACTTAACAGATGTATTACTAACTTAACAACTGCAGTGATTCACTTAACAATTGTGGCAAGAAAGGCTGCAAGTGGGGCAAAACTCACTTAACAACTGTCTTGCTTAGCAGTGGAAATTTTGGGCTCAGTTGTGCTGTAAATCAAGGACTCTGTATAGGAATGTATCCTAAATATAATCCAGCTGCCTACATGAAATAGTAAACATCTTATATTTCAAGCTTGGAACAAAACAACTTTACCTGAAATATGTATGTGTTTCAACATGGAAACACCCTCCACAAAGACACAAGAATGGCTTTGAGTTTTCCTTATTCCATTGAAATAAAACTTAAATGTTTGACTCTTTGAGCCATACATAATAGGGATGGAAACAAAATCCTCCTGCTCCTCTGGGATTTTTTTTGTCTAGTTTTCACCCAAGGTTATTAATACTCTTTTAGTTCATTAAATAAAGTATTTACCAAAATAGCATTAATCTCTTTTATCAGCACTCTTTTTCAATTAGCACTTAACAGGTTAGACTTTAGCAAGATTTGTTTTACCTGGAAATTCAGGGTGGAAGAAGCAGACCAGCCAAATGAACTCATCTTAAATTACAATTTAAAATGTAAATTTAATCATGAATTAAATCACAGCCAGAGCTAAATTAACTGATTAAATGAAAACCTAACCCTGCACAATAAAAAAAGAGCAAAATTTGCACATCAAGCATTTAAAGCAACATATTTTTTACTCTTCGCATCATAAAAGGCACACGCACCAAAGCTTCAACACAAAAAGCAGAATTAATCAACCCAGGTCAACGTAGAGGCTTTGCATTTTAAAATGCATCTTGAAACTCACCATCAAGAAAATACAAAGGAACGTATTTTTTTTTAAAAAGCCACAGTTTTCTTTTCAAGCTCAGAGCCCAGACCAAAACTTTAGATGGGTATTGCTTCAAGGTCAGAATATTTTGCAAAATACTTCACACATCCCTAATTCAGTGAATTAAACAAGTCAGTACTATTATAGGACTTGTCTTCACATTTCATTTACCACTAAGTAATAACTTGATACCTGATTTTAAGAGACACACATCTTTATGACATCCTCTGTAGTTGAGACAATCTAATTATCTTCAGTTATCTCACTGTCACATGAAATTTTTCCTTTCCAATATAAATCTTGAATGTGGAGAATCTGTAGTGCCTCAATAATTATACCAACAATACAGTCAGGAGCCAGGATCTGGCCTGCTCTTACTGGCCAATTAAGTCTGCTATGGGGATACCATCTTCCCATCCAGTTGTGAGTGTTGACCTCTATGTCTATTTTTTCTTGGATTGCAGAAGATCAGCTATCTGGCTTGTGCAGTATAGATACCTCAGATAGAATTTTGAGGGGCTTCATGTTATTTTATTTTTCACCCGAAACGACAAGATTAAACTGGCCCTCAGTTTGAAGACAATAGCTGTACAATTGCAATTCCATTATTACTACAAAATATGAATCAGGAAGGTATTTCAAGAACTGTATGCCGTATGTTACAAGAACTAAATGTTTATTATAAAAATACAATGCTGTTAAATAAGAATAGTCTCTTGCTAAGTATACTTCTTCAGAAATTTCAATTTCAGATATGCAAGTGTGAGAAAAGTTATAGTCATACATGTAAGTGCAACGTGATTCTGCCACAAGTCCCAAGCAGTTGTGCCAATGCCTTGCATTTCCAAATAGTCTTCTCCAGTGCATCTAAAAACATGGGTTAAAAATTTTAGTATTAGGACAATGCAACTCTTAATTTACTTTTTTTTTATTTATTGTAAATTCATACAGATAGTCCTCTGTTTACAGCCATAATACAGCCAGCCCATGATTTTAGAACCTTTTTCGTGACACTCATTAAGCAAACACTGCAGTCATAAGGCAAATGCCACAGTCATTAAGAGAATGGTCGTTAAGCAAACTCATTATTCGCTATGGCATGTTTTGGCTGAAAGCTAGGTATGAATAGCAAGTTTTTGGCAAAAATATGTTTTGGTGAATCACAATGAAACATGCTAAGAATGCTTCCCCTGTTGTTTTCATGTGAGCTTTCTTTGCTTTTCTGGAAGCCCCAGTAGACGGAATGGGACGTTTAGTCTCTGACTTTTCATTCTCCTCGGGCGTTTCTCCTCAGGCAAGAGGAAGAGGAAGGAAGGAAGGCATTTTGGCAAATTCTTTTACACCTCTCTCCTTTCGCTGGATTTCTATTACACCCCCTCTAGCCAATTGGTTTGGGGCTAACTGTCACAGAGGGTGGAACACCCAGGACGAACCCTCTTTCTGCGAAGGGGCCGTGTCGAAGGGTCTGGGACGAAGAGGCCGGTGGCCCATTCCCCACGGCAAATGACTGGAGGCGTACAGCTGAGGAGATAAGTCGGGGGAGATTCACCCGAGGAGAATGAAAAGTCAGAGACTAAAAGTCCTAGACCCCCAGTAGAAGTGTGGTGCATATACACCTTCAGAGTCAACTATCAAAAACAGGGATGCAGCAACCTTAATGCTTCAAGGAATGATGCTTTGCTCGATATGTTTTTGCAAGCCACCCTTCCAAACGTTTTCCCCGTCAAGTTGGCAACAGTTCCATCTTATTCACTACCAAGTCCTGAATATATTTAGGTAATAAACATATCTCCTTTAAAAAAAAAAACAAAGCATGAGTAATCATTAAAGAAACTTGGGCACTGTTGTTTGTTTGTTTTACTTTTCTAGATGGTGCAACAGTTTGCCATGTGACAGATGCTTACACTGTAAATGCAGTAGTAGAAACACATGTTACGTTGACCCCTTCTGGGGTTTCATTGCAAAATCTGAGTCCAGTAAATTCGTTGATTTGCAAAGCCTTTGAAAAACAGACAGATAATGGAATTACTTGCTTATATTATCTGAAAGGTTTCCCGTGCAGTTGGACCTAAAAAGCAACAAAATGACAGGAATGAGAGTGCTTTGCTAAAATTAAAGCAACATCAGAATTTTTAAGTCTTAATAGATAGGGATATATTGATGCCCTGTTATGATGATGTTCTAAATAAATTATTCTGCTCTCCCATGCAGTATCCAGTTCAAATTTACCAGTTGACAACAATTTTTGGAAGAACTGTAGAAGTCACATGTAGAAAATAGATGAGGACCCATAGCTTTAGCACTTTATATACACCTACATAACACACTAGGCCAGGGGTCAACAACCTGTGGCTCTAGAGCCACATGTGGCTCTTTCACCCCTCTGCTGCGGCTCCCTGTCACTCAAAATATGTGTCACAACCACCAATGTGCAACACCCGCCGGCACACAATTGATTGAGCTTTTCAACCCCCAGTAGGCCAACCATGGATAAATCCAAGAAAATAAAAGTTTCAGAAGAAAACAGAACATTTAATTCAACTACATATGCTAGTTTTGTGGCTGCTCAAGAAATAGTCAGGCATGGGAAGGGTTTTGTGGCTCCTGGTGTTGTTGTTTTTTTTCTGTGGGAAATGGGTCCAAATGGCTCTTTGAGTGTTTAAGGTTGCAGACCCTGGCACTAGGCCATAAACTATGGTTTACAAGCCAGAATGTTTCACACAGAAAACCTAATCAAAACCACATCAAATAAAGCCAGATATTTTAATGTGTGGTGTGAATCATGACACGGTGATCCATGCCTCTTTCTGAACCTCCTAAGAAACACTGCAAATGGTAGATCCATTTGAATATTTAGTTGTAATCACAGACACTGCTCATTCAAAAATTATAGAGCTGGAAGGGATCCTTTGAGGATTCCTGGCACAAAATCATACCTCGATGTATGTATAGAGGAGGGGAGCCATGTTAGTTATGGTGGCAAAAAAATCAGAATCTGGAACCCTTTTTTCCAATTACCAAATTGTATTAAAAGACACCCTTTTGTGAGCTACAGCTCACTTCATACAGTAACTATGCTGATATAAGCTTTAAATTGGGGTAAAGTGATGAAAGACCAGGTTGGTTATGCAGATGCAGGTCACCCCTAAAACAGATTTCTGGTATCTTACATTTTTAATGTGTTATAAGGCCAGACTACTTTTTTTTTTCTTTTGTTTGCCACTATGTAGGAGCTACTTATGTAGGATAGAATTGTTTCTTCTAAAGCAGAAATCACACAAAGTTCTCAAAATAAACCACTAGATGTCAATATCAGATTAGGAATTATTCAATTTTTCTGTTTGTAACTTCAAAAGATTGCACTTCCTTGGACTTGGCTCTGGAGAAGAAGAACATTTGCTAAAGAGCTTCCATGAAAGTAGTTTGCTCACCACTATAAGTACTTCATTTAATTATAAAGGTTAGGTTGCTCGAATACACAGCTGGCTCACAGGAAACAATAGAAATAGACCAAAGGATGTCTGTCTGGACAATGAGCGCAGTGCAAGACATATCCTACAATCCCTCAAGTGGTTGTTTAGCAGATGTGCTAGAATTCCTTAGCAGGCAGAATAACAATGAATAATAAAGGAATAAAAGCAGAATAACAGGCAGATTAACAATGTTTTCTCCAAAGGGGT